CCCTCTATTATTGCACCCAACCAAGGTGCTTTTGTGGAGGGAAGACAGATCACCGATCAGATTCTCATTGCAAATGAGAGCTTGGAGAGCTTTAGGAAGTCAAAAAAGAAGGGAGTGGTTTGCAAATTGGATTTGGAGAAGGCTTATGACWTGGTTGATTGGTCTTTCTTGATGGAGGTGTTGAGGAGTTTTGGTTTTAGAGACAAGTGGTGTAAGTGGATTTGGGGTTGTGTTAGGACTTGTCATTTATTATCCTGGTAAACGGGACTGTGGTTGACTTCTTTCCTGCGTTGAGAGGTCTAAGACAAGGAGATCCTCTTTCCCCTTTTCTTTTCACCCTGATTGTTGATGTGCTTGGGAGATTGTTCCATAGAGCATACTCGAGGAATTTGATAAGAGGGTGAGGAGTAGGAAGGGAGGAGGTTCCCTTAACACTTCAACAGTTTGCAGATGATACTATCCTATTCTATGAAGGAGGGAACTTCAATTGGATCCTTGAGCAGATATCTAACCTCAAGGTGAACTTTGATAAGAGTTGTGTGGTGGGAGTGAATGTGAATGAAAGGGACCTAAGGGAATTTGCAGGTGAGCTAGGTTGTGCAATTTCGGACTGGCCCCTGACATACTTGGGCCTCCCTTTAGGAGATAATCCTAAGAGTGTTAGCTTTTGGACTCCAGTAGTGGAGAGGTTTGAGAAGAGGCTGGCGGCCTGGAAGAGAAATTATCTTTCTTTAGGTGGGAGAGCCACTCTCATTAGGCTACCCTAGCTAACTTACCTGTCTACTATCTGTCAGTGTTTAAGATCCCCTCAAAGGTTTCCAATCTTTTGGAAAAATTAATAAGGAACTTTCTGTGGAAGCCTGGAGAGTAGAAGAGAGATCATAGGGTGAGTTGGGAGGTGGTCACTAGGTGTAAAAAACTAGATCTTGGGATTGGTAATTTCAAGAAAAGGAATATGGCTCTACTGGGGAAATGGTTGTGGGGGTTTTCATTGGAAAGGGATAAATTGTGGACTAAGATTGTGGCTAGCATTCATGGGCTGGAAGACAATGGCTGGGATCCTAGAATCTTGRCAAGGGCYTCAGCTGCTTCTCCTTGGAAATCCATTCACAATCTGCTTCCAGTTTTCTCCCCTTGGATCAGGTATGGTCTAAACTCTGGTAACCGAATAAAATTCTGGGAACAACTTTGGGTCGGGGATTCTCCTCTGAAGGACCAGTTTCCTTCCTTGTATGCTCTATCAGACTTGAAAAATGAACCCATATCTTCTTTCTTGGTCCCTTCAGCCTCCACTTCTGGCTTTGGATGGAACCTAGGCCTATGTAGGGCAATTAGGGATACAGACATGGATAGCTTGGTAACTTTGCTAGCCTCCCTTGAGATTGTCTTCCTAAACCCTGCTAAGGAAGACACCAGATTTTGGACCCCTTCTAGCTCTGGTACCTTTTCTTGTGCTTCAYTCTTTGAAACCTTAACTCAGCCTCCTATCCCCTTTGGGTTGTCCTTTCCGGCTAAGGAAATTTGGAGCAGGCCTATTCCTCCTCGGGTTGGTTTTTTTTGTTGGGAAATTTTCCTGGAAAGAATCAACACTTTAGACTTACTTCAGAGAAAGATACCCAACTATTGTCTACTTCCTAATGAATGTGCTCTTTGTAAAGTTGATGGGGAATCTGGCTACCACCTCATGGTCTCTTGTAAGGCTGCTAAAACTGTTTGGGAGTGGGTTTTCTCCCGCTTTGGGTGTTCTTGGTATCCTCCGGAGACTGTCCAAGGTTTGTTTTCTCCTTCTTTTTTCAGTTGGCCTAAGAAGCGAGGGAAGACTATGTGGAGGTGTATTAGGGCAGCGGTATGCTGGTCATTGTGGGAAGAAAGAAACTCGCGCATTTTTTCCAATAAGGAAAGAACATTGGAAGAATTGCTAGATCGAATCCTTTTAAGGGCTGTCCACTAGCTAAAATCTTTGGAGTTGTTTTCAAATTTTCCTGTGGATGACTTGCTAAGAAACTGGAAAGAGATTGCTTCCAATGCTAGATGCAAGAGGACTCTTTGTCTATTTTGGTCCCCTCCCCCCTCGAGCTTTAAAAAGCTGGATTTTGATGGCAGCAGTGTAAGGAATCCAGGACCCTCTGGGATTGGAGGAGTCTTCAGGAATGAGGAAGGGATTGTTATTGCTTTATTCTCTGGCCCTATTGGAGAAGGTGACTCTCTTAGGGCTGAGATCCTTGCAGCGCTTGAAGGAATTCGAAGGGCAAAGGAATTAAATATCAGTCGTTTGATCCTTGAAGGTGATTCAAAGGTGGTGGTTAGTTGGTTGAAGACAGAGGACAATGGTTTGTGGAACTTTAACAATGAAAAAAACAATTCTTATGGCTGGGTAGGGTCATTGAGATTCAGTACAGCTGGGTGAAGAGTGCCAACTCATTTGCGGATGGGTTGGCCAAGCAAGGAGTGAATAGGGAGTCTGTCTTTTGGGCTAGTTTTTAATCTTTTCTCTTTGCACTCGCTTTGTTTTCTGTTTTTGGGGAGCTAAGATATTTTATCTCCCCTCTTGTATCCATATTCCCTCTTTTCTTTTAATTTAATGAAGCTGGGTGAAGAGGAGTGCCAACTCATTTGCGGATGGGTTGGCCAAGCAAGGAGTGAATAGGGAGTCTGTCTTTTGGGCTAGTTTTTAATCTTTTCTCTTTGCACTCCCTTTGTTTTCTGTTTTCTGTTTTTGGGGAGCTAAGATATTTTATCTCCCCTCTTGTATCCATATTCCCTCTTTTCTTTTAATTTAATGAAGCTGGTGTTATTGATAAAAAAAAATCTTAATTGCTAATGAATGTGTCGAGGAAATGAAGAGATCAAAGAAAAAATGAATAATTTGCAAGTTGAACTTGGGAAAAGCCTATGACTTGGTTTATTGGACTTTCTTAATCGAGGTTTTAAGGCAATGTGGGTTTGGTGAGAGAAGGTGCAAATGGATTTGAGGGTGCTTAAGATCTTGTCACTACTCTATCTTAGTCAATGGCACAATAGTGGATTTCTTTCCAACTAAACGTGGGTTAAGACAAGGAGATCCTCTCTCCCCCTTTCTTTTCACACTTATAGCTTATGTTCTAAGCAGAATTATTCCAAGGGCTGATCAGCAAGAGTTGTTGAAAGGGTGGAGAGTAGGAAGAGATGGTGTGCCTATTACCCATTTACAGTTTGCAGATGACACCATTCTTTTTTGTGAAGGAACTAAGTTGGACTGCATAAGGAACATGAAGCTTTCAATGCAGCTTTTTGAAAGGATGTCAAACCTTAGGATCAATTTTGAGAAAAGTTGCATAGTGGGGGTCAATATGGGGGAAGGGGAATTGGCAGAATGTGCAGAGATTATAGGTTGTAGTGTTGGGTTGTGGCCTCTGACCTATCTAGGTTTGCCCCTTGGAGCTAACCCAAAAGAGGTTGGTTTCTAGAATCCAGTTTTAGAAAAGTTCTCCAAAAAGTTAACTGGCTGGAAGAAAAGGTATTTGCCGTTAGTGGGCAGGATTATAATGATAAGCTCAACACTAGCCAATTTACCTGTCTACTATTTGTCAGTTTTCAAGGCTCCAGTTAGTGTTTGCAAAAGCCTAGAGAAGATGATGAGGGATTTTTTGTGGGAGTGAGAGGAGGAAAAGAAAGACCATAGGATAAGTTGAGAGTGTGTGTAGGAACAAAAAAAGAAGGAAGGTTGGGTTTAGGCAACATACAGAAAAGGAACTTAGCATTACTTGGGTACTGGCTATGGAGATTGCCTCGGGATAGGAACAAATTGTGGACTAAGGTGATAGTGAGCATTCATGGGCTCTTGGACAATGAATGGGATACTAGTCTACTGCCTAGGGCAACCTGGAAGACACCTTGGAAGGCTATCAGTGCAATTTTACCTACACTCATCCCCTACATCAGGTACAATCTTTGTAATGGTAATGGTATAAATTTTTGGGAACATATCTGGATAGGCACCTCCCCCTTAAAGGATCAATTTCCTTCACTGCATGCCTTTTCAAGCCTTAAAAATGAGCCAATTTCCAAATTCTGTGTTCAATCTTCTTCAAATAATGGGGTTAATTGGGATTTGGGCTTCCGAAAGGGGTATCAGAGATTCAGAATTTCAGAGTGTAATTAATCTATTACAGCTGTTGGAGGGAGTTTTTCTTGAGCCATCTGTACCTGATAGCCGAATCTGGACCTGTACTACCTCTGGTTCCTTTTCTTTTGCTTCTTTCCTCAAAACTTTGTTACAGCCCTCCCCTGGTATTCTGCCTTCTTTTCCTGTGAAAGAGGTATGGTGCAGACCTGTTCTGCCAAGGATTGCGGCTTTTTTTTTGAGTAGTTGTACATGAAAATATTAACACATGATCTTCTTCAAAGAAAGTGGCCCAGTTGGTGTTTATCCTCTCACTGGTGTGTCTTATGTAACGCTGATAGTGAGAGTTTATATCACTTATTTGTCTCTTGTTCTTTTACTACTTCAGTTTGGGAATGGTGCTTCTCTTTGTTTGGGTGCAGGTGGATCCCTCCTGTGAATGTACAAAGCATGTTTGATGCAACTGCGTTTTCATGGCCAAAAAAGAAAGGGAGAACTATGAGGAGGTGTATAAGAGCTGCTACCTTGTGGGTGATTTGGGAGGAGCGGAATTCAAGAATCTTCTTGGATAAAGCAAGAAGTAAAGAAGAAGTTTTTGAAGCAATTGAAATTAAAGTGGTGCATTGGCTTGAAAGACTTCTCTAGTGTTTCGGCAACTGATATATTGAGGAACTGGAGGGCAGTGGCAGATTCTTCTACTGTTAAGGCTGTCATAATTCATCATTGGAGCTCACTGGACAGGAGATTTATTAAATTAAATTTTGATGGTAGTAGCATAGGGAATCCAGGACCCTCCGCCATTGGAGGTGTATTTAAAGATGAAAGGGGCAGAATTATTGCACTATATTCTGGGCTGGCAGGGGAAGGAGACTCATTGAGGGCAGAAGTCATGGCTGTAATGGAAGGCATACAAAGGGTGAAAACTTTGCACATCAACAAACTAAGTGTTGAGGGAGATCCAAAACTGGTGATCAACTGGCTACAGGATGAGGGAATGAAAATGTAGATGTACAATAATGAAAGGAAGAAATTCAGATGGTTAACTAGAGATAATTGAAGTAAGGACAGGGTGGGTCAAGCGAAGTGCATATGCCATAGCTGATTCATTAGCTAAGCAATGGGTGGAGAGAGATTCATTGTTTTGGGCACAATTGTACGGGATTTGGGGTTTCTTGGGGAGAGATAAGAATTTTTATCTCTCATGAACTTTAACTGTTTTTAAATAGTCTGTACTTACCACTTTCTTCTCAGATTAATAAAATTGATGTTATTGATAAAAAAAATCATTTTTCACTCAGCTGGGGCCAAGGACTAAATAGGTGCTTTCTACTCGTAGAGTCAAACAAAAAGTATGTATTTTTGCTACCCCAACCATCATCACTAAAGTGCCATGTAATAGGCTATAAGGCTAGGCGAAACATGGGCTACTAGAAATCCTTCACTACAAGTCCTTCACTAGAAGACTTAGGTTACTCCACTGCCAGCAAGCTTTTGTTCTTTTTCTAATAGATATGAGATAAGGGAAAATCTTATGAGAAGAATGAAAAAGATAAACAAGAAAAGTCTTGCCCCCACAGGGGAGACAAACATGAACAGTTAGAGTATGTCATTTGAAGACCCCAAGAGAACAAGATATTCATAGAGGGAGACACATAAAAAAAATAACAAAAAGAAAAATTGGGGGAAAAACTCTAAACCTGAAGTCTTCATATAGTCAAGAGAACCATGATATAACCTTTATTGTAGAATATTAAATGTAACAGAAAAGAAAAGAAAGACATGTAGTGATTAGACACACTGACCATCACACAACCTGAAAATTTGTTGTGGGTAAGAAAGATGCTTATTACATTTAATAATAGATAATTATGAAGGGCATTAAAAAGTAAATGCAATTGACTATAAATGAATTATTTACAATAACACCACAATGGAAGTATTTATTACCAAGCTCTGCTTCAATGCTCCCACAATTGCATCTTCATTTGCATCCAAAGACATAATTGGCCTTGCAAGAGTTGGAAATGCAGATTCTATCTGATACAGTAGATCATATAAAAAAGATTGTTAAAATGCCAAAAGCTCCCAATGAATCATACAAGAAATAACTGCATAGTTCATACTTTCTCAGGTAGTTTTAACTCATGGCCACTTCCAATAGATTTAAGTATAGTGTACTCTTTATTGTTCAAAACAATCTTCTAGTATTACAAAGCAGTTAACTTGGCTAGGTCCAGCCGTCCAGGCAAAAAACAGATAAGAAAACAAAAAAGGAAAGAAAGACAGACAGACAAGAGGGGTTTCTAAACAAAATATAAAGCCAAGAGAATTAACAAATTTACTGAAAATAAGATGAAAATTCAGATCAAGATGAGAAAATTAGAAGGGAAGAGATAAAGGATAGAAGAGAAAAAGAGAAATTCCAAAATTTTAGCAATGGAAGTGAGTAGTATACAGTTTACCTTTTTGTTCCAATGGATAATGAATGTTGTTACAAAAATGGTAAGTAATCACGTCCCTGAAGAGATATTCTATATAGGAGGGGAGAGAAACAAATAATTATAGATGAAAAGTGGGCGGTATGAAATAAGAATAGGCTACATCAGTGATAAGAGTAGATGTTCCATAAGCTTTGCATGTAACTTGACATAGTCAGGACAGAGTTTCATTTCTCCTAGTTAATAAAGAAAGAAAAACTCAGCAAAGACTGCTAAAAATGTATTGAATTGTTTTGGGGAGTTGCAAACCAATATTAAGGGATTATACTTGCATTTACAAAAAGACTAGCTGAGGCTAGCTCTCCCAGTGGGTGTAACCATAGTACTTCTGCTCTTTTAATTAATAAAAACACATTGTCAGTTATTGATTAAAAAATTCTAATAGGTGTCTAATAGCACCCATTAGATGCTACAAATACAAATACCTCTACATGCATAGTTTACTGATGCCAGACATGATATGAACCCAAGACAACATTATGAACTGCACAGGCATTTCTAAGTATGCTTTATAGCATTAACACTTTTAATTATGTAAAATGGGTGTGTTCTATAATCTTCATAATGGTGTGTCTTAAGAAATCATCCTGTAAATATATATATATATATGTTAGAAACTTAATTAAATTTTACAAGGCATATAAGTAGTGAAAAATGGCACCTAGCTGATGGTATAAGTATATTATATGGGACACTCATACCCATATCCATGTCCAGGAATTTTATTTTGCTCCTAGTTGGGAGAAAAAATGAGATCTGCTGTTATGCATATGCATGTAAGGTTGAAAGAGAGAGAGAGACTACCGGTCGTCTGTCAAGGATGGACATAAGAGCTGAATGATCTTTCACAGAACGCTCTATTCGTGCATCACTGTCAGCAGCTTGCTTCAGGTTTCCAGCAAACCTGCTCAACCTATCTTGAAGGTTCTTGGTTAGAGTACTGGACTGAGGCCTAGTCCATCGAGTCCCAAATTGACTTCGAAACTGAGCATCCTCTCTTGCTTCTTGCTGCAAAAGTTCTTCTGTTTGGACCAGTAATTCTTGGTTCACCCTTCTCAAATCCCTAAGCTGCTGCAACTCAACTTCCAAACCAGATGGGCCCCCACTGATCTGCACTGCTTCTACATCTTCTTTAAGATCCCTTGGTAGTGTAAAATTCCCTTCCAGTGCAAGAATCGAATCAGGTAAGTCCATTTCCTTCAGCTTCACACGGGTTATCTCACTTCCTTGCTGCAATTTCTCAGCTTGTGTCCTGATGACGTCATCAACCATTTCGGTATATCTAGAAAGAGCCTTTGCACTGTTATCAGGAACAAGACTTGAAAACATCTTCTCTTTGCTTGCATCCAGAATATCATTCATTGGTGTGGACTTGACTAGTGAAGCTGCTTGAAGAGGTGGTAAGGTATTTGCTGCAGGGACTCTCATAAGATAAACTCTATCATTCTCCTTTGTAGCTATCTCCAAATTGCGGTTTAAATTAGTTTCTAGTCTAGTAACTGCATCTACAAGTTGTGGTGCAACACCTTTCATTGATTTCTTTGCATCAGCCAAAGTGCTAATCCCATTCTTCAACCGTGCAATTTCCTCTGCAATTTCTTCTTTCTCATGCATTTCCAGACCATATCTGTAGCAAGCTTCAGCATATAACTGGGCTGCCTTCACTTGCACATGAGATATCCAGGTCCGGTCGAAATGCTGGTTGAGAGGAGCAGCATTTAATGCTGCAAAAGCTTCCTCGTAGTACAAGGCAACCTGTATTCGGTACCCACATAAACCAATGCATTGCATTTCATAATTAATCACCACAAATGACGGGCTTTGGATGCAAATTAGGTGATCAAAAATCAAAATTCAGAAAAAAAAAACAACCTATTTATGATCAATTAGATATAAATTTCATCAAGACTACAAGAATTATCAACAGAAACAGGGATATGTTATCATCATATTGAAGAATATAAGGGCTATTATCGCCTGACCTGCCTTGCAATCTTGGCGCAAAGCCCAGCTGATTTTCCTTCGGCGATGACTTTCTCGAAGACGCACTCCTGCGCTTGTGCAAGCATCAACCTCTCGAGCATCCCAGCACACTCAACAGAGATATCCAGCGTAGTCGATTGGCCAATTGAAGCCTTCATCGATGCGTTATCCCTGAGAAAGGCAAACGCCCCAGCCGAAGCCATAAAGGAGTGAGAAGCCTGCACACGACCGGAACCGGAGGATCGATCAGCTGAGAGGGCAACCTGGCTATGGACAGCGCCGAGATTGAAGAGCACTGCAGCCTTCTCTAAGTGAATGTTCTGCTGCGACGCCTTATGTTTCGGCTTGAACGCATCGTACCAAATGAAGGTGATGGTGTTGATATGGTCCTTGTCAGGAGAGATTGGGAACCTAGACTCCATGACACAGAGGGCTTTGTAGTAACTCTGGAGAAGGTCCCGGCGGACATCGGGGGTGTCTGAGGGGCGTTCGAGATTGGCCCTCATTTGTTTCACCGATTCAAGGTCATCTTCCAAGTTCTGCGCTTCGCGCTCGGAGTAGGTGTAAGCGATGTACTGTCTAAGAGGGCGGTAGATCTCGACGGCCACCGTTTTCTTCTCGTGGATCGCCAGCATAACATTAGCGGCCGCCGCCGACGTCGCCGGAGCAGCCATGGTTGGCTTTGAAGGAGATGTCCACCAGTATTAAATTGACGAGACAAGCCTCGACCAGACGAGTGGTGAGGGCTGAAAACTTCTTTGAGGAAGAACGCGAAGAATGGGAATTCGATCGATCGATGGAAACGAAAATTCTCCTCTGTAATTGTTTACTTTATTTATTTCTTCGTTAATACGGAAACAAGGGAACTTCGTGGTTTTTTCTTCTTCTTCTGTTCTACCGGCCGGTTGAAACCTAAACAAATGTTCAGTACTCAAAAGTCTCCATCCCAACTGAGAGAGACCGTTTGTTATCGGTTGAGTAAGCAATTATAGGGCCGGAGTGACTATTTTACCCTTAAATATTTTACCATATAACGGTATAACCTTTTTTTTATCCACTAAAAGATAAGCCTGTGTAAGCACTAAGCACTTTAGTTCAGCCAATTCAGCTGTGAAGAAACGGCCCCGGGAGAAAAAAAAAAATTAAAAACAAATCTAACCGAATATTAATTCAGCCAATTAGCTGTTGCTAAATGCCGATTGAATATCCAATGAAATGGCGAGAAGCGTCCAAAGAAGCAGCGATGGTGATCTTCAAGCTGAAACTGTTCCAGGTACATGACCCCCCCCCCCTACTTATTTTCTCCATTTTCTACTCCGTTTTGGGCATCTCTCCATGGTAACTACGATAGGTTTGTAGATCCGCCACCTATCTGACGATACTCTTTGGTTTTGGTGAGCTCTTAAGTCTTAATCCATTTTTTATGTTTTCTAGCTATTTACACATGTATTGATCGTTTTTGTGATGTTTCTTATTTTCATCGCGATTGGAAATGCTATTATCCAAACCTTTTATATGGAAAAATGTAGTTAATAACATTTGCTTATCATATTGATTTTGACTTTTTTGTTATTAATTAGAAATAAAGACATCATTTATTGTTACCGAATTATTAATCCAAATTTGCTTTGGTGCTTTAAATACTTTTGTTTTCATATCATAATTTTTTGTGGTTAACGGTACTGTGTATGCATTTGTCAAGTTAGGGCTGTAGTCATTTCTGCAAATATAAGTAATTATTGGTTAAGTAGCTCAGCAAGCAGCGTAACCAAATAAGTATTTCAACTAAGTGCAGGTGGTTTGTGAAAGAATCTCCCAAACACTAATAAATATTTATTTAATAAAATCTATATTATATATAAAAATGTATATGTAATATAATTTTTTTTAAAATTACTTTTTATTTTATTGTTTAACAAATGGTATAAAAGTTATTTTATTATAGTTTTAATGGCTACTAAAATTCCTATATTTGTGTATTTAGTTAAAGGTTACAAATGTCACTTTAATTATTACTTTCCATCTCATTTAATCCCCTATCATTAGGTCACATTTGATGTGTCTTTTCGTGCGAGCTATCAGCTTTTTAGAAGCCTGTCAGCTCGCATTTTGAGAAGCTCCAAATGGAGCTTTTCGCCTTTTTTTTTTCAACTCATCTTCGTGCGAACAGACACTCCTTAACCAAACGGTCTTCAAATTGTTAAGATCTTGATGCAAAAGCTCACATCGTCTTTTGGTTGTCAGAGCTTCAAAACTTGTGGTTTTTTAAAACGAACCGATGATTGAACCGGCCAGGGGTCCGGTTATCGGTTCGAATAGTTTGATTGTTCAGACAAAAAAATAAAAAATAATAATTAAAAATTTGGAAAATGGTCAAAACCGTTCAAACGGTTAACCGGCCGATTCAGCGATTTGCTAACCAAAATCAACGGTTTTGGGGGAAAACGGAATCGATCAGGTGACCAGTTCCTGGTTTTTCCAATCCGGCCGTCTGGTCTAGTACGGTTTTGAAAACCATGTCAAAACTCATCAGAGCTTCAATAAGATCTTTCAAAAAAGACTTGCCAAACAGCCCCTGTCTTATACTTATGGTATTAAATCTCATTTTCTCTTATTAAATACTATATTTTTAAGTTATTTTCACTAATAAATGTTGCTAATTAGATCTATGTCAATATTTTTAATAATATAAACTTATATTTTAAAATTGACTAAAAAACAAAACCATTTTTTATCCAAATGGTGGTTAAGTAATTTAACCTTTCGAATCAAATTGATTAACCTACTAAGTCATAGGTAAGCAATAAAGTTTTTAAAATAAAAATGAAATATAGAAGATTATAGCACAAATTTAGAAAAGAATTAGACACACTTAAGAGATTTTTATTAATCAAACTAAAAAAATAAGTGTAATAAACAATAATTATTTTTATTGATAATGAATAAAATACATAATTTAGAACTAACAAAAAATGAAATATAAAATTAATAATAAATAGTTCAATTTTGGGTTAAATGTGTTAACCTTTAATGCCATAAATAAAATATAAAATATAAAATTACATAAACTTTGCAAGAAAAAAAAAAAGCATGTAGGCACATGTATAATACCATATATTTATCATATTAAATAAAAGGTAAGTGTGATATATTAGAATTATCTTTACACACAAAAAATACAAAACTTGTAGAAAAATTTTAACACATCTATTATTCTATATTTAAACTACTATTAAAAATGTGAATAAGATTGTGAAACTTTATTTTAACCAGAATACTTAGTTTTGAATTTAGTCCCTGTTTAATTGTAAGATTTAAATTGTAAATTGAACTGTTGCTTTTCATCTCATTCAATTCCCTCTATTTAAATCTTACAATTTTTTTATAAATGAACAAAAGAAAAAAGATACAACAAAAATATAAAACACTACAAAAAGAAGAGTCTAGCTAAGCATAAGCCTTTCAATGATACTTGAAACCAATGTTTTCAAAATCAGACCGAACTAGACAGTCGGACCGAAAAATCGAGAACCATTCAGGTCTCTAGTTCCGGTTATACTTATCTTAGAAAAATGTTGGAAGGGTCAGAAATTTGTTGACCTGAGTGGCCCAGACAACGGTTCACGATTATATGTTTTATTTTTCTATATTAAAAAAATAAAAAATAAATTCCACTAGTGTCCTCATCAAATTGATAATTGGGATTAGGGTTCGAACATAAATCATTTTCATTCTTCCCTTTTCAGCCGCTCACTTAGCTTAATCTCTAACGACTTACAGTGACAGCAACCTATGGCAAACCACAACGACCGGCGATCGACTGTTGAGGCTCCATCTACAGTGATCTATGACAAATGCAAGGTTTGCATTTCTCAATCCTCACTTTGAGTTTGAGCCGTCATCAAGTGCATTGTTTTGCATGGCAACCGCAATTCAATCAATGGCAACCACCATTTACAAACTACCGACAACCAATAGCGACCATCGGTTTCATCAACGATCTATGATAGTTTTTCCGTGGCAAATTCTTCTCATCCACCCACTAGTGGCAATTTTTCCCCTATCTTTGTGAACCCAACACCGTCAAACCTCCATTATCGGTGGCGTTTCTTTTTGTATGTTATTTAATTTTGATGGTATTGTTTATTTTGTTTATGACATCACAGGTCAAACGTTTGACCCAAACGGTTGAACCATCAAATCAGAAAACGATGTCTTGATCGGTTCTGTTTATGGGTCGGTTTTTAAACAATTGCTTGAAACTTCACAACTCAATCCAATTATCACATATTTGGATGAAGTATTTATATAATCAGATTCCAATTTGCTATATGCATCCAAATTAATAAAAAAAAACAAACAAACAAACAAAAATATAGAAAATTTTAAATATATTATTATTATCATTATCATCATTTATAATTACCACATGCAAAACTACTTACTTCTCAAACTACTTATTCACCAAACCTTCAATGGCCTTATACCCTCACTTATTGACCTGAACAAAACTGCCCCCTCTATTCCAATTTTCTTAGTAAGCCAATCCGTGGGGCATGTGAATTGTGAAGGGGATCTGATTTTTTTCTCTAAGACGATATCTGATATCTAGATCGCACATGGCATCTTTACTATATTACTAAAACAATATTTGCTACAGAGGCTCTATCCTTTCTCCCAATGTATTTTTCTATTTTATAGATTTTTCTATTACCTCCCTCCCTCATCTCTCTCTCTCTTCAAGTCCATGTAACTGGCCTTCTTTTCTCTCAACACTATTTTAAATTTATCATTTATTATTTTTTTCCTTTTTTATCTAACAAGTAACACATAAAATCCCTTCAAAAACATCTCTCATTCATGCACACTACTTAATTAACTCAAATAAAAACAGTTATACAATAAAAATGATTAAATAAATAATAAGGTAATTGAATACATAGTAAAATGGTTAAATGATATACAAATGAATGGTAGGAATAAAACTTGGTTAAACAATTAAAACAGGTTACTAGAATAACTATATAATTAACATAATTAGCTATAACTTATCGTCACAACAGGAATGGAAAATGACTAAACCATTAAAATTTGATTGTATAAACAAAAATATTAATAAATACACCAACTAAATAATTAAGATGTCTCAATCTTAACAGAATAATCAAGGTCGCAAGCAAATCAATTATCAACGAGGATGCAAATAGTTTCTTCATTGAGGTTTTGGTTATCAACTTGTCAAACTCAAGGTTCAAAATATCGATACGTCTATAGGGGCGTATCGGGTGATATTGATAGTGTTTTGTTTTTTAAAACCGGTTCAGGGGGCCGATTTAAGGTGCTTCTACTCCCTTAAACAGTATAGGGGCGTACCGAAAAGCCACCGGCACGATACATATCGGCCAATACAATAGTAGATAATTATGATCTTAGGGTTGTTGAAGGTCTTGTGGTTCTTATAGTTGTTAAAAATGACGAAAGAAGTATAATATGCGTAGTTCCAGTCATCGGGAGATCACCATCGCCTGAATTAACAATATTAATATTAACCAAGTTATAATTAATATATGACAAATTCTATTATTAAAAAATATTAGTACTTAATTAACTTGTATTTTAGGAAATTTAAAAGTACAATTACTTAATCCAAATATATGAAGTTAAAATTAAAATAATTAAAATAGAAAAAACAATTACATTATATTTAAATTAAGCTTTATTATTTACACCAACTTTACTTTAAATTCAATTGAAGTAAAATTAATTATTAATAATTATTGTAAATTAGTTTATTTAATCATTATTTATGTAGATATTCGTAGAAAATTCAATAGGGCTGACTGTGGGGTATGGTTATTCATGTCTAACATCTTGATATTTTTAATTTTAATTGTTGTTGAGAAGGGACATAACCCATCAATTATGGGCTATTTTCAAAATAAGTTAATATTCTCTTGAATATGAAAAGCTAAGAAACATTAGAGGGCTCTATATATTTTAGTTTTATTTAACAAAGTTCGTACATCACACATGACCCAAGTAGTGAGAAAGCTAGAATAATATAGGTGATGTTTGACATCAGTGATGATTCTTCCCTATCGATTTTCTTTTTTTTAAATTCGGTGTTTAAAAAAAATGGTAAATTTTGTTTATGGTACAATTTTTTCCATACAAAATGGTAAATTTTGTATTAGAGTTATTATCCGTTGCCATGCTAGATGTCATGCCATCTTCAAAGAATCGAAATCAGCTATAAACCAGGAAATCACCAAAAAGGGTGATCCTTGCAAAGGGTTGATTTCCTGAAAATAATCAAAATCGGCTAACCAAACAGAAATTTCAATGCCGATTCCTATAATGTTGATATGGCCACGAGATGGTAGTGATTTTCAATATATCATCATCCATGCCAAATATCACACTAGTGTGAACGACAAGCACTCCATCCTATACAAGAGGGTTTTGGAGTTCTGTGAGAATTTGAGAGGGAGGTTGGAAAGACCGATTCTAATTTTTAATTTGCCTTAATGTAAATAAGGCTATGTTTGGGAATGCTTAAAAATAAGTGTTTATTTGGGCCATTAAGCATTTATTGGTATTTGAGAAATAAGCCTGAAATAAGTGCTTATTTTAAAAATAAGGGCTTATTTTTTAAGCTCAAATTTCTATATTTTTTTTAGTGCTTATACAATAAGCACTTGTTCAATTTTTTTCTTCCAAAATTATCTCTAGTTGAATTTTAAAATACCACTTATAAAATCATCCATAGTTGAATTTTATAAAAGTACTTTTATGAGAGCACTTTTACAAAAGCACTTCACTTTTATGAAAGCACTTTTAAGGAAGCACCTTTATGAAAGTACTTTTATAAAAGCACTTATGCAAAAGTACTTATACGAACTTTCATAAAAGTGCTTTCGTAAGGGTACTTTCTTAAAAGTGCTTTCATAAAAGTACTTTTATAAAAATGATTTAATAAAAGTACTTTTATAAAAGTGATTTAATAAAAGTACTTTTATAAAAGTGCTTTCATAAAAATACTTTTTATAAAATTAGTTTAATAAAAGTGCTTTCAAATGGTATATCTTGAAAATTTGAAAGAAAATGAAGGACAAAATAGTCACAAATGCTCATTTAAGTGCTTATTAGAGAAAAAGACTATCAAACACTTAATATAAAATAAGTGCTTATTTTAAATAAGTGTTTATTCAAATAAGCACGTGTTTTAATCATTTTTTCAATAAACACTTATTTTTAACTTAAACACTCCCAAACATAGCCTAAGTAACATGAGACTATAATCTAAGGATGTCATCTATTGAAAATTTAATTAGGATGTGTTTGGTTGGAAAGAAAAAGGTAGGATAATATAAAGGGGGTATTCAACAGCATCTATGGTTATGTTGCCAAATCATCAAAAGCACATTGTTTTTTTTTTTTCCTGATGTGGTTTTGTTTTGATAAACAAATCGTCTATTTGGCTTCGTTGCCATTGCTCCAAAAAATGGTGACATATCAGCACCATGTTGGGAAAAAAAAAGTGCTTCAGAAAACACCTGTTTGTTTGAAATCATTTTTCCATAAAAAACGGTGCCTCAAGCCACACATTGGAATCGAGAAGGTGTGGTTTGGAGCAACACCGAATTTGGTATATGTTTGGCATCAATGCTGCAGATACAACGGTGTTGCTGATGCGTGGGTTGGAAGCACTATTTTATGAGAAAAAATTGTCTTTTTTTGTTTGGAAATGTTGCTGCCAGGTATGACGTTTCTTGGAGCAACAACAATGTCTTCTATTTGGTACCAATGCTCCAGGAAACGTTTTCTGGAGCAATAGCAATGCTTTTTGCTTGGTACCAATGCTCCAGGAAACGTCTTACTTGGCAGCAACATTTCCAAATAAAAAAAGACATCGTTCCAACCCACACATCAGTGGGAGAGGATTAGTTGGAGGCAAAAACATCCACACCCAGTTGAACTATTTATCATGGTTAAACACGCCGATGTTCAGTATAACTGAGTCCCAGATGGGGCCATAGTAAGCATTGGCGTGTTCAACCGTGATAGGTAATTTAGTCGGGTGTGTATGGTCTTGTCTCCAGCTCATCCGGATTGCACATTAGTAGCACCGTGTGACTTATTTGTCTTTCATAGGGCCCATGGACCATGAGATCGAAGTTTTGTAGTCATTAGACCTGTTCATGGGCCAGATAGCCCGATGGCCTTGCCCGCACTCCGATCGGGCTTGGTCATGTAATTAGGCCCACGGGCCTAACCTCGGGCCTAACATAGTAAGCCCGACTGTGTTTTGGGCCTAGCTCAGGATTTGTCAAAAAAGGCATGCCTGAGCCCGACTCATCATTATGTATTTTATAAAATATATAATATATAAAATAATATAATATTTATTAAAATATATATTTATAATTTAATATATATATATATATATATTTATTATTTTCTTTATAATTTCTCTTTATTTCTTTCTATTCAGCCGCTTCAGCAATAGTAATAGTAACAAAATGGGCTAAATTTCGGACTTGGACCCAGGCCCGGGCTTCGGGCTTTTTATGAGGGCCGGGCTCGAGCTCAGGCCATAGAAAAATCTGTTAATACAGAGTGAAAGCCCGGCTCGAACCCGGCCCATGAACAGTATAGTCATAAGTGAGCTGAGAGCCTGAGACTCTGAGATCTAATGTAACCTGGACGCCAAACTTTCGGCAAAATCCAACTTATAAAGGGCATTGACGTCCGCAATTCCACTGATCTCTTGTTATCTCTCGCTCTTTAACAAGAGAAGCAGAAGTGGCTTTTTTTCTGCTCCTTACACCAAACAAACCCCAATGAGGCTTCGTCTCTGTCGCAGCACCGGCAGCCACTGATAGAATAAAAGCCCTAACCCTAGTTGTCTTAGAGACTTGGTTTTCGAATTATAGCCATGGCTTCTCGCAAGGTCTTGTCGTCCCTTCTTCGATCATCCTTACGCCGCTCCGGGTCGAGATCCTCGATCGTCAACCCTAGAACTCCATCCCCATCCCCCGTATCTCGTCCTTCCCCCAAGGGTTTCCTCCTCAACCGCGTTGTAGACTATGCGACTTCCGCTGCTGCTCCAGCACCGTCGGCTCCATCGCCGCCGCCGACCAAGGGAGCTGGCCCTAGTGGCAAGATCACCGATGAGTTTACTGGGGCTGGCGCGATCGGCCGTGTTTGTCAGGTGATCGGTGCCGTCGTCGACGTTAGATTCGACGAGGGATTGCCCCCAATTTTGACCGCACTCGAGGTTTTGGACAATTCGATCCGTTTGGTGCTTGAAGTCGCTCAGCATTTGGGAGAGAATATGGTCAGGACCATTGCCATGGACGGTACTGAAGGGCTTGTACGAGGACAGAGGGTCCTTAACACTGGTTCCCCGATCACTGTAAGAATTTATCTTTCTTCTCAAGTTGTTTTTTTTTTTCCCCGTGAATAGATGAGAATCATTGCATATTGTTAGTCATTATTTTCGTTGCTAAGGCTTTTAATTAATTATTATGTAGATTTGAGTTTAGGGTTTTTTGGTGCACCTTCAATCTTGATTCCACTGGTTTTAACTTTTAAATGACACAATGCAAACGCTATTTTCAATAGATAATGCGTAGCATTGAATTTATGACAATTCATAGAATTCCTTCACCGGTTGTGCTCATTTTTTATAAGATTCGTTTTCTTGGTTATTGCATCATGTCTGTGCTTTGTCTGACTACACAGAATGGTCTGGGTTTTGGTTTAAGATTTGTAACTATGTTTTCCCCTATATGTGGGTGAGCACTGAACGTAGTGTGATTCATTTCATCTTTTCTTCACATCGGAAAAATCCTGAAAGTTTTTTATTTTTTATTTTTATTTTTTGAAAAGGATAACTTTCATTCAAAATGAAAAGGGGAGGATGTAGAAAACATGGCTTCCTAACAAAAAACACCTAGAGCCCACTCAAGAAATTGGAAAAGTATTTGCACTATACAGCATATTCCTTCCCAACCCACTTTTAGCTAAAACATCTGCCAAAAAATTGAACTGTTTGGTTAATTGTTTCCTCCAGTAACTTTACTTGGTTATAATTCTGCAAAGGTGTGTTTTATTTATCTCGCTTTTGCACTTATGGGAAACTATCAGTTTTGGTGGAAGAGATTCTTTAGGTAATTAGAGATTGAAACATAATATCTAATGTTTTATCTGCCTCCATGGTTTTACATCTATGCGATTACCCACAAGGTTTTCCACCTCCATGTTCTGTTTATATTTGCATAAATAACTCCTTTGCTGGCAGTGTTTTTGTCAACGTTCTTATTTTGGTTTTTGGATGACTGGTTAGGTGCCTGTTGGTAGGGCCACTCTTGGTCGAATTATGAATGTTATTGGAGAGCCCATAGATGAGAGGGGTGAAATAAGTAAGAATATATTCACTTCATTGATTTATGGTTTATCTATCTTGAACTTACTATTATTATTATTATCATTATAAAATTTTCACAGTTTTTGTCTTCTATTCCAACAGAAACCGACCACTACTTACCTATCCATCGGGAAGCCCCAGCCTTCGTTGAGCAGGCCACTGAGCAACAAATCCTTGTCACTGGAATCAAGGTAAATTGGCATGATTTATATGTTTTCTCTGTTTTTTTCTTTCTTCCTTTCAAATTTCCAGGCATTGTTTCTAGTTACCTTTATATGTATGATCCTGATGTGATGTATTTTGCATCTTTCAACAGGTTGTGGATCTCCTTGCACCATACCAGAGAGGTGGGAAGATTGGGCTGTTTGGTGGTGCTGGTGTAGGAAAAACAGTGCTTATTATGGAGCTGATTAACAATGTTGCCAAAGCTCATGGTTAGTTTATAATACTTTGTGCAAGATGCTTTTTTATCAACATTCTGCTTATTATATTTGATTTTCTTCTTTAGGTGGTTTCTCCGTCTTTGCTGGTGTTGGAGAACGTACTAGGGAGGGTAATGATCTCTACAGGGAAATGATTGAGAGTGGTGTCATTAAGCTAGGGGATAAGCAGGTACATCTTGTGGTTGATTTGTTATGTTACTTCCATTCTTGTATTTTTGTTTTCTATTCTCTTGGACTTGCATTTACTTAAAACAATGTTGTTCTTTATATTTCAGAGTGAAAGCAAGTGTGCACTTGTGTATGGTCAAATGAATGAGCCCCCTGGTGCCCGTGCCCGTGTTGGCCTTACTGGCCTTACTGTGGCTGAGCACTTCCGAGATGCTGAAGGGCAAGATGTGCTTCTTTTCATCGATAACATATTCCGTTTCACACAAGTAAGGTTCTTTCTGAAGAATCTGCTTGAATAATCACTTTGAATTTCTTTTGCTTTATATGGGTCAGTTTTTGTTTATCTTTTAAATTTCATATCCTGTCACTCCAGGCAAACTCTGAGGTGTCTGCTTTGCTTGGCCGTATCCCATCTGCTGTCGGTTACCAACCAACCCTGGCAACTGATCTTGGAGGTCTGCAAGAACGAATTACTACAACTAAGAAAGGTTCAATTACATCTGTACAAGCTATTTATGTGCCAGCTGATGACTTGACGGATCCTGCTCCTGCAACCACCTTTGCCCATCTGGATGCCACCACTGTGTTGTCCCGACAGGTAATTGGCCATGCTATTCATATGAAATAATTTTTTTGATGAATCTGTTCTTATGTAATAATTAAATAATTGCTAATAATATGGGAAGTAGTCATTTGATAATGCTGTTGAAATCTAATCGTGGCCAGATCTCTGAGCTCGGTATCTATCCTGCTGTGGATCCCCTTGATTCTACATCTCGTATGCTCTCTCCTCATATTTTAGGAGAAGAACACTATAATACTGCTCGTGGTGTTCAGAAGGTTCTTCAGAACTACAAGAATCTTCAGGATATCATTGCCATTTTGGGAATGGATGAGCTCAGTGAAGATGACAAGTTGACAGTTGCCCGGGCCCGTAAAATTCAGAGGTTCTTGAGCCAGCCATTCCATGTGGCTGAAGTTTTCACGGGTGCTCCTGGAAAGTATGTGGAATTGAAAGAAAGCATTACCAGCTTCCAGGTAATAATAGTATGCTTACACTGACTAGCAAATAGTTATTTCATGTTCTGGTGGTTTATTGGTGTCTCAGTCGTCTCCTCTTGGGCTTTCTTCGTTTCCCCCTTTTCTATTATCAAAATGCATGCTAGAGAAATGTTTGGTCCATTTTGCTTGCTATGAAGTGGGGGTTCCTTGTGTTACCCAGATTTTTGCTTGCTTGGATTGTTTGAATGTGCTGTCAAAATAACTACAAATTTTTTTATTTTTCTGTTCTAATTTTGTGGGAGATTATTTGCTGGCCCTAATTTGTGATATCTGATGCATCTTGGCTGCTGCAATATTGCAGGGAGTCTTGGATGGTAAATATGATGATCTTCCTGAGCAATCATTTTACATGGTTGGAGGAATTGAGGAGGTAAATGCCAAAGCTGAGAAGATTGCCAAGGAGTCTGCTGCTTGATAACACTTAATCTCTCCTTGTCCTTGTTTTTTTTTTTCCCGCTTGCGTGGATGGTAGACAACAATTGTCAATAATTTAGTTGGTGTTGACAATGCCTGCACCAGGAGTTACATTTTTGAGATCAATTGTGTCTAGTTGTTTTAGTTCTTTGAATTTACTCGAGGATTGTGGTAGGCAGAGAAACGAGCAAAGGGCCTCCTGCCCTCCTGCCAGGCTGGTTCCTTTTTTCATTGTTTAATAAGAAGAAAAAGAAAGAACAACGAGGACATGTCTATTTATCTCCTGCGTTCACTTCCACACAGGTTGGTTATTGATCAGAAATGCCTAATTCGAAATGCCATGAGCTAGTTGCTCGAGCCTGATATTTGTGTTGTGGCATCATGGTTGATTTATTTATGCCCCTTGAACAAGTAATAATTAAATGTGTGGCTGGACCAGTTTCCATTCTTTGAAAAACTTGATGCCCTTCTGCCTCCTTGAATGGGCTGCATTGCCCCGAGGCTCATTTGTAACAGAGATTACTTTGGATCTTTTTTCTGGCAGCTCAGATTTTACATCCCAGTGCCACTATGTTGTACTACGAAGTAGGCAAGAATATTAAATTTCCAAGGGATCTGCACTCATGTTTCTAAGCAGTCAGGTTATCGAGTTGTGGTGTTTTAATTTTTAACCATTTTGGCATTTTAGAGCTTGGAGAAGCTAAGCTCTTAGTTGCGTCTATTCCAGTTAGGGATGGCAACAGGGCGGGTGGGTTCAGCCGTTCAGGGGAGACCGGATTCGGTCAGAGCAAAGTCCATTCAAACAGCCACGGGCCTTGCTCTGATTGAAGCCGATCTCCGTTCAGGGAGGGTTGGATTTTTAAAATTGAAACCCTCCGACCTTATTCTCCAGTCCACACATCTGAGGGTGGGACAAGTTGGGTTTTGAACCTGCCATCTTAGTAAAGTAATTAAAATTAAGTTGAATTAATAAAAATTTAGTGAAATAATTAAAAATCACTCAAGTTGGTAAAATTTGCTAAAGTTATTAAGTTTAATAAAAATTTCGTGAACTGATATCAAAATTTTCAAAGATTAAAATAAATTTCAATTATTGTCATTTTGGTAAATTCAATATATGTTTAGGGGAGGATCGATTTTGGCCAAAACCCGTTATCGTCATTCGTCCAATCAATCAACAACCTGCCTTGTTGGGGTAGGTACTTGCCGGGTCGAGTGACTGAGACCCCTATGTTTTTTGTTTTTTTTTTTAATTATACACACAGGTATCAGAGGGTCCAACACGCTAATTTAGAATTTTAAACTAAAAAAAAAAAAAAAACTTTTGGATCATTGTATCTGCTTATTTGGGTGCACCATACAGTACAATAGGCGCGATATTTAATCCTTTGATGCATGTATAGTCCAAAGAGAAACGAGGCAAATGTTATGGTACATGAGTACATCTGCTGCAACATACAGCTTACTAAATATAGCCATGCCCCCTGTTATGCTACCCAATCCTCGTGAATTTGATAAACCGCCCACCTCTTACGTATCAGGAATCAACAAACAAACAAACAAAATCAAAAATTTCTCCCTGTTACCTAGTGTGTGAATTGTGATGACAGTGACACAAATCATCTCCGGTTTCAGCTCTGGCTGTGTCTGAAATAGAAATAGTCCCTCCGCACTTGGCAGTTGGCACTGAGCTATAAAAACACCTCAAAATTATCCCAACAGCCTAACAAGGGGGTTGCCACTTGCCACTTGCCAGTTGCCTTCAGCCTCGACCTCCACAAAACCTCGTACACCCATGACACCACGGGTTTTATTAAAAGAATTTGAGGCAAAAGCCAAAAAGGTGTTAGGGGTGCAACTAGGGTTGGCTCAACCTGAGTCTATTCGGCTCAATTACTACTTTTGCATAAGTTGGGCTTGAGTTTTATAACTTATAATTAAGTTTGAATCAAAAAACTAAGGCCTAACTCAAATGCAGATTGAGTGTGGGTTGATATCTGTGTAATCCGAGACCCGACCTAATATGAGCCCACCCAATATTTTATAATATACATATCTATATATTATAAAATGGTAGGGCAGGCAAAGATTAGGTTGGGTCGGGCTTGGGCTATTTGAGGCCTCAGTCCAAGCCTAACTTGGGTTTAGGTTAAGCCTGAGTTTTTTGGCTTAAGCCTAGCTTAAAGTTCTAAAAATCAAGCTCAACCTGTGCAAAGGCTTTGGTTGAACTGGGCTGGGCCCACCCAAGTAAAACCCTAACTCCTTTGCTTCAAATTCTTTTAACAAGTACAACACACAGAGCCCCACTATTGTGTGTGTGTGAGAGAAAGATTGCATAAATCTACCAGGCGGGAAAAAGGTAAGAAATAGGAAGGTAATTGACCAATCAAATTGGTGGATAACACATAATTTGTAATGATACCAGTTGGAACCATAATTGGTCACCAATTCCCCAAATTGGTGAGGCATATATCTTATCTAAAAAAGCATTGAAATTGAAAAATAAAAGGAAATGTTCTATAAATTAGGTATAATAATTTTCAGAATTCAAGAAAATTTTATTTTCGTTGGACTATAAATAAAACAAAACAATTTAAACTTAAAAATTTCTCATAATATCCCTTTTAAATCAAAAACATATTTGATTATCTCTTACTAAATGTAGTTAGAAACTTAGAATAGCATCAACACTTCATTTCTCAAAGTGCCACATCTAAGAATCATCTCAATTCACATCTTCACACATGACAGTGGGATCCACCAATTAAAAAAATAATATAGTTCTGATTTTTCTTTAATAAATTACGATAAATTAAAATACTGGTATAATAAAAATATGAGCAATTGGTTTGGGCCCGAGAATTTTTGTACAATGGTTAGGGAGGGAGCAAAAAGAAGAGCTAAACTACTTTTTGTACAATGGTTGGATCAAACCTTGAGCATCTAAAATTCATTGGTTTTATTATTTTACTCCTAAAACAGACTATTTGGTAATTTTGAGTTTAATTTGCATTATTTCATAAACAAATAATTTATAAAAATAATAATAAAATTGGGAAGAACCGCTGCTACTGTTGAGAGTTGTAGCGGCGGTGGTTGGAAGAGAGCGAGAGAGAGAGAGACTTTTATCGGGTTAAAACAGAGGTATTTTCAACTTTAGGCCACAGACATGAATCTTACAATTTTACATGTGAAAAAGCATTACAAATCATATTTCATATGTAATACCAAATGAGCCTGGCATATAAACAACAGATATTTCAGGGGCCAAACCTCTGGAAATAGTTATCAAATGCCACCTTAGCAATAGAATGAGGTGCCTTGGTTGTCATATGTGCAAAAGACAATGAGCAGTTAGGGATCCTTGAAATGTACATTCTCCATTCTCCCATCAATGAGTAAATGCTTAGTTCACCATGGAGGAGAAGCGTTCTCTAGCCACCGACATTGATTATTTCTAGGCTCCCTTCACTTTTTGGGGAATTACTAACCCAGGTATCCATGTTCTTTTATTTCCTAGTAAATAAAACAATGACCATTTTAGCCATAAAAAATATATTGCTAAAAGGGATAATTTTGTCCCATCCAAGTGTTGGCAACTTCCCACCAGGTGAGAAAGTTATCCACCCGAGAAAATAAATTTTTCACAGACCTCACATAAATCTAAAAAATGAATATAGGTATTTTGGTTAATGAGAACCCCTCTCAAAATCCAAAAAACCAAGGCCCCTAGTGTATTCTCTTCTATCACTATCAATCAAAGTAAACCTCGGCCATGAACTTTAAAGCTTCAGAGGTGATACATGCTTCAATAACCATTGCTGATTGATGAAGACCTCTAATGGCTCTGGTATAGTGGTATACACAAATTCCATATGATGATCTCTAATGATGCAATCTACCATTTAAGCCAAAGGGCTCGTCACTCCATCACATTCACTTTGCAGCAGTAATGGAGAGGACTGAACCAGCTTCCAGATGCAGGGTAGAGAGAGGAGGCCCTGGAATTGAAGACTGAAGAAGAGTTGTTCTATAAGCTCTGCCACTGTTTGATGTGCCGACTTCCCCCAACACCGGTCCAATCTCTTAGACTAGTGTGGCCTTGGATCCAACCATCAGTGAACGACTGAACGTATATCTATATACCACCCAGAGCCCACTATCCAACAGGAATTCACATGGCACCCACAAAGCGCGCCCCACTGCACATCCCAACCATGTATTGGAAACATCTCTCATGACAGATATAGGAAATTGTTCCCAATGCACGTTGAGATATACATGTGGCACTTTATCATGATTGAAGGCGAACTGTTATTAGGCTTTATAGTCCAGAAAGAATCTCTATTGGCACATAAAAAAAGATAAAGCAAAGCTCTATTTAAATTTGTACATTGCAAGAACATGTTTAGAAATACAAACTACAAACTCTTTCTAAACTAGCCTTAGCAACATCTCTACAAATTGGCATATCTGGTGTTAATGCATTTATGTGACTTATATGAGTTTTCCTAGAGTCATCATTATTCATTCTAACTCTTATCTTAGCCATAGATTGTCTCCATGAATCATGTTTTGTCATTCCATTTTATTGAGTGTCATATCTATTATCAAATTATGTGTTTGAATAATTTCTTACTAGTCTACACATAACAAAACCATCTTCTTGACTATTTTTTCGCCCATATTTTTTCTATTTTTCAAACTCATCCATCTTAACGGGTTCGCTATGCTCATTCTTTTTTTTTACATAATATCTATGTATATGTTAATTATTCAACCATATCTTTGATTTTGCCAAAGTGTATCTAATACAACATACCTTAAAATGGATTTTTTTAATACTCTTTTCATGCCAATATTTAGTTTGAACCTTAGTTTATTTTTCTGTCTTATAATTCATGGATTTAGTTACTATAGTCTGCATTTTAAGCCAGTTAATTGAATTCTCAATTTGCAAAATACATGGAGGGCACCTTGCAATCTATTTTCAAGGAGTACAAATAAAAATACTTAGAGTACAAAATCTTGTATTTTTTATCAGGAAAGAGTGAAAAATCAAAATCTTTTAGGCCACGTTTGTTTGCAGTGTAAATGCTGGACCAATGTAATATTATACTCTGGTATTATTTTGCGCCTGTTTGGACGGGGTGTAAAAAAACATTGAAGACCCGTGCAAAATACTATTTTGAAAGATTTTTTACATCCATAACCGATATATAAAATACATTTTTAGGGTCAATTACAAAGACCCCTCCTGTACTATGGGATCTGTGACAAAGACCCCCTGTACTATGATTATGAGACAAAAGACCCTCTTTCATTCAAAAAGATCGTTATAATATTTCTTAATCCCTATATTACCCTTGTAATAACTATTCAGACATGGGAAAAAACACTGTTCATCTTCCCGGACTTCATGATCCTCGATCCCAGTTTCTTCCTCCAACTTTTACTTCATTTCATGCACTCCAGTCCCTTGAAAATGAACAAGAATCTTAAATGGCGTCGTCAACATTTCCATTCTCATACATAACATGGAAGTACATCCGTAAACGTAAACTGTCAGAAAAGTCGAACACCCATTAAGCCAAATAATTTCAGAGCCCAAGAGCCCAGATCCATAAACGTAAATTGTCAAGCCAAACCAAGAGAAAATCGAGATGGGTTTTCCGTAGTAATCATCATCTAATAAGAGAAGAGATTTAGATACATTCTTTTCTAAGAGACATCTGGTTTTAAGTTATTGAGATTAGAAAGGAACGAAAATTAAACAGAGATTTAGATACATTCTTTTTGAGCAAAATTAACACCAACTTTCAGATCTAATTATTACTTACCAGCGTTTTGTTCTGATTTCTGAAGCAAGGAGTTCTTGCAGTGAGTAATGGCTCCTTGAATCGCACTCTGCAACTCCTCCATTGACGATGAATCTGCATACTGCATGCTTCCAACGATGTTACCACCAAAAACACCGCTTCGACAAAGCACACCGGAATGACTGGGCGACGACCGCGTCGAAGATGGGCAACTGGAAACACATTTTTTCCTTCGTGGGTATTTCAGGTTTCTAGAGAATGAATGAGAGAATACACTGTTGCTCTCTTTCCTCGTACTTGAAGCAGAGATTTCTTTGTTTTTCCTGGACTTCTCTGTCCTCATCGCCAACGAAGCCACTGTTACCATCGTCGCTATCTTCTGTTGCTGCTGCTTTTGTGATAACTTCTCGTATAAAGGTTTCACCTTTTTCAAATACTTCCTTATCACGTCCTTGGCCGACGCGCTCATCCGCTTCACAGAAGAAGGACCCTATACATTCTCTTGGTCTCTATGCTTGTTGTTGTCTTTGCGAAACACAGAAGAGAACCTCGCTAGAGATAAGTACGTGGATTTCTTGATCTATGGGCTCTGATGGTGATGATTGTGGTTGAGACGCTTAAACTCGTCTTCCTCGGTCACTGAGCTCGGCCGCGACGAGTCACACTCAGTGAACAAGACGAGATCACCGGAAAAAGAAGAGCTGGAGCCATTGGAGCCGTAGGTCGAGTCTCGAGAAGCGGTGGTAGTGGAGTTGGAGCAAGAAGAGCTGGACGAGGCTAGCAGGAGAGTTCGAACCATGGAGAGGCGGGGGGAGAGATGGAGAGGGAGAAGCTGGCCCTTGTAGAAGAGCTCGTCGGCTGGACAGAGATTGGAGGAGGCCATTATAGGGGATAGAGAGATGGTTAACTCGAAGTCCGACGAAGAGGTACTTCTCGTGGTCGCTTCGGAGACGAACAACCTTGACTTTGTGGAAAATTTCCATTACTCCACTCTGATACCAACAGAAAAAATAAATGATTAGAATAGAGTGTGAGCGAGATCCCACAGATATAATGACGATGAATAAAAGAAAGAGAGAAAAATAATATAAAAGAAATTCAATTTTTCAAGTTCTATTCTGGTCTTTTCTAGTTTTGAAACTAACCATTTTAAGACTGCAACTAAAAGAGGCGTACCAAATGAGATCAAAGAAAGAACAGACATACACTCATCGAAATAGGATAGAGATAAATGGTCAGAGTAAAAATTAACAATATATATAAAATCTGTATCTAATGTTCATCGCTTGAATCGAATCAGTCAGTGAATAGGTCAAAATAGGTTTTTAGAGAAAAAGGATAAAAAATGAAAATAGAAAAAATTTAGTGGAATATTTTGATAATTTAACTTATTCCGTCATTTTTTATGTAAAACTCCTCCCATCACTCTCCTGCTCGTAATGTCTCTATTCTAATCTCCTTCCCATCACTCTAACGGTAAAATTTGTTTTCGGGGACTTTGAAAGGAAGATTGATGCTTCCATTGTGACAGATAAGAGATGGATTTTAACTCAGACTTCGAGGCATAATAAATAGACCTTGCCGCCTGGTAACGCTCCAACAAACCTTACTGCTCCGCCTTGCCACCCAATAGTTCGTGGATGCTATGTATGCCGTTAGCACTCTCATGAGCCAATCATCATTATACGTAGCCTTAGGTATTTTATTTTATTCACCTTGAAAAGAAAGCAAAATTATGACCTTCGAAATTTGAATTTGTACTTTTTTAGCAAAACAATCTTAAGGATAAAAAATATAAAATAATATTATTTATTTTTTCAACATAGGCAAAAAAAAAGAAAAAACTATGAACAAATCAATTTTTAAAGGGGTCCACTATGCAACCATTCTCCTATAAACCATTGGATTGGAATCAAAGGTGATGTCTAAGTGTCCAAGCTGATGTGTGCTGCAAGGAATGGGAGATGAGAGTGCCCAGGTGTCTTTTACTCAAGAGTACACTCTGATGTTTAAGTTAGTAGATGTTTGAGAAATTCTTTAAAGGAGTGAGAGAGCTCTAGAAATTTAATGTGCATACCTTTCTAGGTGAATTTGGGCGTCTTGTATAGGTCCCTGGACTTAGAGGGTCCAGTGTGACAGTTTTGAGCTCTTTGTAGAGTAGTTTCCTATTTTCCTAACGTGTTAAGGTATTAGTTGAGAGATCCTCGTAGGTGTTATGGTTCGTCTAAGTGAAGTTGAGGCGAAATGAATCATTCTAACGGTCATGCTATCGATGCCTTTGATAGCGAACTGGGGGTGGTTAGTGAATTCTTTCTCACAAATCACCTTAGGTCCTCTCAGCTCGGGCGACTCTTAAGATAGGTCGCCGTTATCTTACAAGTCTGCTAGCTCAGCTGCACCGAGCTGAAGGTCGGCCTAAACAAGGTGTTACCATAGGTCCTCAAAGTCACAACTGCTCCAATCCCTACAGCTAACAAATGTTCAAAATCTCCCGCCAAACGGGAAGGCCATTCCCTCCCTCGTGCAAACCGGCTACTACCGGTAAACCCGTGGTCAATATAAAACCTTGTAGAGAAACTCCAACGGCGTGACGCGCGAGAAGTATATACATTTGTGGTTGCAACTCGTATTTATCCTCCATCTTCTTCCCACCAGTTCTGCTTTTTTTTTTTTCATCTATTTTCCCTCTTTTTTTTATTCGTTGCATGAAATCCGCTAGGGTTCATCGGTTAAATGAATGTTCTAGGATCTAGGGTTTGGACTGATCTATTGACGAAACGAGTTTCAGAGTTCACTTTCAATTCAGGACAATGAGTGCTGTGAATATCACCAACGTTGCGGTTTTGGACAATCCAGCGGCGTTTCTCAACCCCTTTCAGTTCGAGATCTCTTACGAGTGCTTGATTCCTCTCAAGGATGGTATTTTTTTGTATATTTTCTACTTATTTCTTGTTGTTTTGAGCTTAAACCGATTTTTTTCGGCCATTTGATGTGGGTTCTTTTTTATGTATTGGCGCCTTGGCGGGCTTTATCTAGGGTTCTTGAAATGTTTAGAATTGTCTGCTAGGGTTTGGTGACACATGCCTATCTTATAGAGGACACTAGTTAGATTCTTGAGCTGGGCATGGAAATGATAGAAACGTCTAGATAGGAGATCTGATATCGCCACCAGGGTTTTGGAGTTGGAAATTTTATTTGTTTACAGTTGGATATATTTAAAGCCATGAGTTGGTTCAATAGATAAACCGATGAAAGGTTGGACTTGGGCGTTCTTTTAACGTGAATCTTTTTTCTCTTTTGAAAAAAGTAGCTTTTTTAAGCAGTGACCAATGTTAGTTTTTTTTTTTAATGAATTAATGACCAATGCTAGTTGAAACTAGGAGGAACTGGGAAACTAAATATCAAGTATGCAGCAGGGCATGATGTAATCCCGCTTTAGCTAAATTTTTGAGTTACTTAATTCCATTTTAATCATGTTGATCAACGGGAGATTTCCGAACAAAAATTGGATATATGTATGCGATCATCCAGGGATGTACAGGCGGGAGCCTCGTGCACTGGGATGCTCTTTTAAGGGTTCGCCATCCTTATTTACAAAAAAAGGGTTTGCCATCCTTTTGATATGTAGAGCATACTTTAATCTCATCAATCATCACGCTGCATACTTTATTTGGTTTGAAAGGCAGAAACTTGAAGACACCAAGTATGAATAGTTGGACACGATTCAGTCATCTGGTGGCAGCTTTTGCTTTCACAATTTAATGAGCATGATATGTGATGCTGCAATATCACTTAGGATTTCATTGATTTTAAAAATGCTGAAACTTGGAGTTAGAAGTTGAATTTATAAGTTAAGTTATTTACGGTTCTTTATTCTTCTTTTTCACTTGTGTGATTTTTGGAGGGGGATTTCTTTCTTTGAACTCTTATTTTGAAGTTAAAGAACTAGAAAAAAAAATTGTGCTTGGGTTCATGACATTTTTCATCTTTGTTCTCTGTTGCTAATATGCTTTTATTCAATCTGAATGCATATAAAAAGCTTCTGGTTACTTGCATTTTAATAGGCAATCCTATAAAGAGAAAACCATGAGTGATCCTAAGCAAGGTTCAAAATATCGATACGCCCCTACCGGCGTATCGGGCGAATCAGTACTGTTTTTTTTACTTTTGTTTTTTTGAAACCGGTTCAGGGGGGTCGGTTAAGGCTCCTCCACCCCCCTGAACCGGTCAGACCCCCGATACACCCACTATAGGGGCGTATCGGAGGGGTCCCGGAACGATACGTATTGGCCGATACGTGTCGATACTTTGAACCTTGATCCTAAGATAGTTCTCTGGTTTGTGATTAACTGATAATCATTTGCTTTAAGACAACTGGCCTCTTTCTATTGGTTCAAGAACTCTTTTTGGATTTTAAACAAAATAACTCTTGTTTGGTGAAGGAATTTTTTGGCTTAATTAACAATTGCTTGAATTGGCATTTGTTTCCATTGTGAGAAGGGTGGAGAACAAAGTTTCTGCCATAGAAGGGGGCAAGGGGCAGAAATGGCTCCTGCAGTGTGAAATTCATGGTCCTTTTATTGTGAGAAAAATCGCTCCTGCAATGTAAAATTTACAGCCCTAACATATTTGCATGATCTTCTATATACAAATGGCCATCACCTAATGTTGGTCATGGGCCTCATGGCCCTCAGCCCTCCAATGTCTTGGGAGGGTTAGATTGGATGCAAACCTAGTCTTACAGCATCTTCCTGCACAAACTGACCATTTTTGGACTAGAACCTGGAATCTCATGCTTGAGACAGATTTTACCATTGCACCTAAAAATGGCCCCTTGAGATTTTATATGCATTTACTTTTCTGTTTAATTATTGACAAAAGAAAGATTTATGTTTTACTTTTTGGTAGATCAATTCCAATTCTAGCTAGGGCTCAGGAAAGTTGGATTCAGAATAGATATACCACATTAAAGTGTGGATTTGAATAGAACTTGAATTGAATAAAAATATTGTATGCCATATAAATGAAATAATTTAGAAATGCCTTTGCATGGCTACACAACTGTATATTGTATATCGTTAGTAAAAATCAACTGAAAAGCCTTACATTCTATCTAACTACTTTCACAAGACCTCCCATGGAAATTCCATTATTACTTATTTAACCTTTTTCTCAAGAAAAAGGGGGAAATTATACAGAGGTGTTGACAAGCAGCAATTCAATTGTTCATATGGGAGGAAATAAACAAAAGGATCCTTTATAATGTGGCAAAATCACTGAAGATGTTAGTAGATCCCATCACTATTAGAGTTGTTCATTGGTTGAAAGCAAAGATGAATGTACTGAGTTTTTGATATATGCCATTGTTAGAGGTTGGGCTCATCACACTAAGGCAAATTGCCAGCTCGTCTAGCAGTTCAACTTTGGCTGTTCCTTAGAGAACGCAGGACCCTCTGGGGTAGGTGGAGTGTTTAGAGGCTCGTGTCAAGAGATAATTCTTTTTTCCTTGTGTTCTACAGTATCTGGAGGTGAGATCCTCTTAGAGTAGAAAGAATCCAAAGCCCTTTTGCAAGGCATATGGATTATGATTTGCATGACTTACCAACAGGTTGAGATAGTGTGGGCTCACAAGTAGTTAGTAGATGGTTCAGGATAGAAGTGAGGATCCATGGTTATTTAGACAGAATGTTGTAGATGATAAATCCATCTAGAGTGAACTCTTTGCTTTAATGGGTGCAGGGGTTGGTAAGTTCTCTTGCAGATAGTCAAGCTATAGGAGTTGTTAGCGCAGATTTGTATTGCGGTGCACCTATACCCAAATGCTGTATATATGGCAATAGGCTTTCACACACACATGTATGATTTGTATTGGGGACTATAGTGGTTAGTACTTCTCATGTAGTCATGCAAGGGTGGGATTTGATACCCTGAGTCAGTGAGAACTACATGCACCAACTTTATCAGATAAGCTAGTTGGCACCTTCAAATTTAGTGACAAGTATATGTTGAAATTACATGTGCATGTATGTGGGTGTGTGTGTATAGATAATATTATTATGAACAGATTTGCTGTTTTATAAAGTATAAACAAATACTGCTTAACCTAATTGTAAGTTGGTTGGGTTCAGCTCATGATCCTCCATTCTATCTGTCAATTGATGTGTTTAATGTAGTTTAGTTGAATATATTTTGTTTTTGGTTCATTTATATTTAGAAAAGTTTTTAATGCATAATTTGATGCTGCAAAGCTGGCAACTTGAGGCGTGGGATTCATAATAGACCATCTGTGTTGGACTTTGACACTCCATGGATTCTTGATAGACACTTCAGCGTATTAACCTTATATGATATGATTCTCTGATTTAACTTTTTATGACCTGCACCAAAACCAAGGCAAGTATCAGCATTATAAAATATAGATAAATGAATTGTTAGCATACAAAATGAATTCTATTTTTTCTAGAAACCATAATTAACACAAAAAGAAAGTTTTTGACCATTTTTATAGGTATGTAATGTTAGAATTTGAAAACGGATTATTTTATAGATGTGTCAGTGAATCCTTATTTTTTCTTCTTGCCGAGCCAGACTCCTGAAATGGCTTTGGATATTGAATCCCGTGTAATCCATGCAATACTACAGAGATTGAAAAGGAGAGTATTTATGAACATGTGCTTGTTTAGTCAAAATTCAAAATGCTAATGACTAGTTCTTTCCTACGTTGTAATTTTTTTATCAGCCTCTCTAAATTGTAAATTGTAATGAATTGTATGTTTTGGTCTACCGGAAAAAGAAGAAAAAAGAATTCTATGTTTTGGGAAATTTGTATTGTGGATCCTTTTGTTCAATCATAAGTGCCTGTCTGATTCGCATTGCGGTTTTTCTTTTCAATTTTCTGCATAGCATTCTCTGCCAGTCTGATTTGGGAAATTGTCTTTTTATCTATGCAGATTTGGAATGGAAACTTATCTATGTAGGATCTGCAGAGGATGAGACTTACGACCAACTTTTAGAGAGTGTACTTGTTGGGCCAGTCAATGTTGGCAACTTTCGTTTTGTTTTCCAGGCAATCCCTAGTAACTCCTTGGAAGAAGTGCATTAGTTGTCTTTGTATTTTCCATTTGCATATTTATTGAGACTAATGTGTATTCTTTTCCAGGCAGACCCTCCAGATCCATTAAAGATCCGTGAGGAGGATATTATTGGTGTCACAGTGCTATTGTTGACCTGCTCTTATCTGGGGCAGGAGTTCATCAGAGTGGGTTACTATGTGAACAATGATTATGATGATGAGCAGCTAAGAGAGGAGCCTCCTCAAAAGGTTTTGATAGATAGGGTACAAAGAAATATTTTGGCTGACAAGCCCAGAGTCACCAAGTTTCCCATCAATTTCCACCCAGAGACTAATGAGAATGGAGGGCAGGCACCTCCTTCACCTGATCATCCTACAGAAACAAATGAGAATGTTGAACAGCCACCTCTTTCACCAAAGCACGTCTGACAAAGCTGGAATCAATCTCCCAAACAAAATTACAACAAATTAAATTCTGGCCTTCATTTTTTTTCTTGGAAGGTAGCAGTTACCAACTTGCTGGGTTTCAGAAGCATACTCAGAATTGTTCTGTAGACAACAATGTCAATCAATATTGTGTTACTTGGATGGAGATGTAAAATACTTGTTTTCTACGGTTCTACCAGGTCCTGAACACTGATGTACCTAGTTGAAGCCATTTCTTTTCATCAGAGTCTGGTTCCGGGGTTCTTATTTAGCTACAACAGTCCATGGCAATGATAGTCTTGTGAAACCTTTGTGTTTGCTTTATTCGTTTGAAGGCAATTCAGTGGTGAAATTGTTTATTCTTTATTCAGCTAGTAGGATTTTACTAAAATGGATCTTTCTACTTCCTAGTGCCTACAGGTACTAGTTCCAATTTTAGAACTAGGAATTTTAGCATTTAGTTGTATTTGTAAATATTATGATGCAATCGCTTTATAGGAGGTGCTAAAGCCTAAAGTTGGCAACATGAACAGGTGGAGGTGGTATTGGATGCAGGAATCAAGTCTGTTTGGTTTTATAGAAAATAAAGAGAGATGAGTTCATAATTTCAAAAAAATCAGGGTATCACTTTCTAAGCTTAAAGAAAGATTGAAATGCACAGGCCTCATTTCTTTGAAAATATTTCAGGGCTTTTCTCGTATGTCTCCCATCTTCGAGCGATTTTATATATTCCCCAATCCCCATCATCTTCTCGAGTATTGAATGATTACCCTATGTTTTTACATATTGGCTGTATGACTGTGTCCTTTCTCCCTTACCTTTAAAGGCTACCTTAAATCTTGAAGTGACGGATTTGCCATTAATTCAGCTGAATTTTGTAAGGTTACATATCTATGTATATTTTTTTGCCTTTTATTTTAATGTAAAATTTTCAAATTGATAATTTCTCAGGCGGTGTTTGGAGCTTGGAAATGTAGGCATTTATAGAGAAAATGCTGCCATGTCTGCGCCAGCTAGACGTGGGCATTTATTGAGCATGAAACCACTGTTTGATTTACCTGTTTACTGAAAAAACACCAAAAAAACGTAAGTTTTTGTGCCTAGAGCTGTTGGGGGAAGTGGCAAATTCACGCTTCCCTTAGCGGGTTGGTGTTTCACAAAACTTGTGTTCGATGCGGCATCGATATGTATGCCAATGTGTCAGCTCACAGTGTTTGATCCGGTGCTTTGCGGAGCTGTAAACCCTCAATGAACTATGTGCCTTTTTACCCTAATGTGTTTGATCCCGCAAATCTCCCATGTTCGAAACCATTTGCAGAAATTTCTTCCCGCTGTCGACCTACCTGTTCTCCTGTTCGTTGACGCTGATAACCACCATCGACCCTGAGACCATTTGCTGTTCTTTCCATTTTATTTCTGTAAGGTATCTCACATAAACCTTTTGTTGTTTGTTTGTTTGTTTTTTCTTTGCAGATCTAATCCTTCCCTTAATCTCCCCTGTAAACAGATGGTCAAAAAACACCTGTGCTACCAAACATATACTCAATTTAAAGCCCAAAATATTCTTCACATAAAAATAAACAAATAAATGAAAAGTTCAAAAAATTTAGGGCATAAGCAGTTATGAATTAAAGGGTAAAAGGCTTAAACCCCACTTCAAATTTCTCCTAAATACTAATACCTTCCCTGGGGTGATATCATCGGACAAAAGCCTCCTCACCGGTAACGATCAATAGAGATCCGTTGGTATATGACATCGTAGGAGTTGAAATTTTTCTAAAATCCCAGTTTTGTCCTAATATAGTAGTTTTTCTCAAAATTTTTTCGGCCTCTATGTTTCAAATGAATGACATTACTTAAGTTTGAATCACATAGGAGACTTTGAAGGACAAACACGTGACTTGGAGCTTTACCTCTCGTTTTTACTCTGTTCCATTTGCACTGTTGGGCACTTAGAGTGTTTCATTTTTTAGGCAAGTCAGTGAGGGCCTTGATTTTCTTCCATAGGACCTGTAACAAAGCAATACAACTAAGACTCTTCCTTCATACTTTTGCCTCCCGGGCTGCAAATTTGATCCAGTGGGAAGAAAATGCTATTATTTGTTGCTTTTTTGGTTTTTATGGTCTGTAGTGTCGGTTAATGTGGGGTTTTTTTCGTTGATTTTGTGGTGTTATATTAGTGTCGGTGTTTTTTGGGTAAATTATAAAGACACCGCTTTACTATGGGGTCTGTAATAAAGACCCCCTTGTACTTTGTTTTGCGACAAAAAACTCCTGTATTATGACCGTGAGATAAAAACCCCCTTTTGTTAGCTTTTCATTGAAACCTACCGTTGCAATTCCCGTGTAGATAATTGGAAAAAAACACTGTTTATCTTCTCCGATTCACCATACACGAATAACAAACCCATATTTCTCTCTCTCTCAATCTCTCATTTTCCTCCATACGGAATGCTTCAAAACCCAGCAGATTTTACAGAGTCCTGTTCTATTGTCCGTTGGACTGATGGGAAGAATGGGCGAAGATGATGGAGACGAACTGGGCTGGGGGGGCAGCAACTGGTTCGGTGGTGAGAGAGGGCGTGGCAACTGTGGGAAGGAGCAGAAATAGAAAAAGAAAGCGAATAATAAAACATGGAGAGAGAGGGAGAGAGGCTGGTGGTTCGTCCAGACGCTGCCCCCCAACAAAACCGCCGATCCAGTTGCTGCGGGAACCCAACAATCTCCTTGCTTCGTCCATAGTTACACAGCTGAGGAGTTGCAGATTGAGAGAAAGTATCCCTATTCTTGGTTCTTCGGCTTAGGTATAAAAAAAAATGAAAGCAGAGCCTGCTAAAGAATCTAGAGACCAGTGCTCTCGTCGTGTTCTGCAGAATGTCAGCCATCATGGAAACTTGGTTATCGACATGGATACAGAAGGGCCAGTTCCGACAAAGGTTGATTCTACGAGTCTTGAAGGTTATCAATGGAGTGAGGAATCGCCGGAGAATGTGATGTCCTTACTGGTGGCAAATTGAAAATGTATCATTCATCATCAAGTGCTGAAGATCAGAGAAGACGAGGATATCGCTAAGGCTCAATATATACATGGTAAATACATACAAAATAATACAAAATATAAGGTTTTACATTTTACATATTTATATTTTGTATTCCTTCCAAACTGAGCCTAAAGGTCTCAAGGAAAAGCTCGTTATTCAAAATCTAACTTTTCAAATGGACAGATTTATGATAGCAAGGCCCATCCGTTCTTCATTAATTTAAGGTTCGATAACAATCTGATGCTGAAGATGAAGTTGGGTTCCCGCTCCTGAAAATATGTCAAGGACAAAACCGGATTTGATGATGAAGGAAAATACAGAGACGCGGTGAATAAAATGAGGGAAAAATATTGCAAGAGGTAGAGAAAAATAGCGGCGGTAATCCCCGATCTCCCTTTCTCTCCCTTTATCTCCGCTGCTGTTCGTATATGAAATGTCGGGGAAGATGAATAGTATTTTTCTCATTATAAGGGTAATATAAAAATTAAAAAACAAAGTACAGGGGGTCTTTATAATTTACCCCTTTATTTTTAATGCCAATGATCGGAAACATCGCAACCTTTCTATCCTTTCTCACAGATCTATTTTTTGGGATTTTTTTTTCTCTTGAGATTGGATTAATGCCAACTTTGAAAAAGACTTGGTTTTGTCAATGATTCTTGTGCCATTACCAATAGATTCAGGATGGTAAAAAAGTCTGGTTCTCTTGAATCGATAGTAACTAGAAATAATTGATGATATCAATCTAATACTACAGGTTTTATTTAAAAAATTAAAGAATAGTAAAGGGCCAAAAAAAAAAACTCTTTTCACCAATTCTGTTAAACATAAGGACCTAATATTTTGGCAAGGGAGGTATAAGCAAATCATATAAAAAAAGAGAGGGAGGTATAAGTATTTATCACAAAATTCCGGGAGAAATTAAAACATTGAACATCTGAACTCTTTTTGATTATATGCATTCATGTTTTTAGCAAATTTGTATATTTTTTTCTGTATTTTTGCTACTATTTCTGTATGTTTTCGGTTTTCCATAAATTCCCAAATGTTTTACAAATTGACTGGTCCATGTTCCTGACTCCATGTTTATGGTCTTCTATAGAGATGCGTGGCACGTCACTTCCGTGTTATGTGTTCCAATGACACTTCAACTTGATCGATTTTGGACTACTTGATTAAAACTTGCCACATAGACAGGATTATGTGGAGATTGGACCCACTTTGAGCTGTCACATCAGTTGCCACGTGTAACAATTGTCCAAGTAGTATCGCAGACATATTTATTTGATGATCTGAACACCAAAAGTGGCCTCATAATATAAAGATAAACAAACGAAGAATTCAAAAATAGAAATTCAGTCCACGATGCAAGGACCTTTACCTGGTTGAAGAGGAAGAGCAGAAATGGCTACACTAACGATAAACTCCTTCAGTTGGATCGTTTCCCACAAATCTCAAACCTCCTTCATACCCTCCCGACTCCCTCTTCAAACCCCACTTTATCCCAACACCAAAAACATCTCTTATCTCAGAATTACAACTCACTTTCCCAGGTTCTCTCGACTGCAGCCCAGAGCAGCTCTAGAGGAACAGGACCAACAAACTGCATCTGTTGTTCTCCAAGAAGAGCAGCCAAAAGAACAACGCAATAAGGTAAGATTTCTTGGTTCATCCTAGTCTTCCTCTTTTTATAATTTTATGTCCTCCTTAGAGGGTTAGAGTTGCCTGATTCACTGGTTCACAGTCAGTTGGATCAAACATACCATGTTTGTTTTGAATAGTTCTGAATTCTGGGTGGTGTAGTGGATTCGGCAGCCCTAGTTTTGATCATTTAAGCTTTTTTTCTTCAGGAAGTTGAGGAGAGTGTGAAGGTGCTTAAGAATGCAGCAAAGACGAGATGGGTTCCCCCGAACGAGGTCCTTGCTGCACTAGCTGTGATTAAGAAGGCCAAACTCGATACCTCCGCGTTTCTCAATACACTTGGGGGGACAGAATCGCCAGGAAGAACTTGGATGCTTATCTTCACTGCTCAGGTTACTTATCCTCACTTTCCTTAATTTCTTTCTCTGGGAATCTCTTTATTTGAGCAACTAAACTATGTTAATTGATTATTTGCTGATATCATCTGGTGTTTCTATTATTTGGGCACTGATCGATCTTGTGGACTGGTTTCTGTAGGGTCGCTTGGAGCGTGGTAGCTATTTCCCCATTACTGCTGTTCAACGATTTGATGCTGCTGTAAGCATCTTGCCTTTTTTTTAAACTAATTCTTTAAATTTCTGGTGGGTCAAAACCAGACCAGTTTGAAATAGGATTTCTCTTGATATCTTGTCTTGGAGATGAAAAGTGTTCTGTTCCCTTTGCTGGATCAGAGATGACATAAACTAAAACATATTTTCATGGGAAAAAGATTTCAGTACTAATGTTAGAGAAACCTTAATCTGTTCATTAAACAAGACTAGATGCTAGAAGTAGCATTTCGCGCTTCCTGTGTATACCTTAGACACTAACAGTTCCTTGTATTATCAGGCAAAGAGGATCGAGAATGGAGCATATCTTGGGCCAATCGGGTGCTTAACTTTCGAAGGCAGGTTTTCATGGAAGAAGAGGATATTGGCTTTCATTTTTGAGTGCATCCGGATAAAGGTCGGGCCATTTGGTCCTCTACAGATTAGTCTGGGCCAGAAAGAGGATAGGGAACCTAACACTAAGGACCCCTTCTTCATCTGGTTGTATGTTGATGAGGAGATAGCTGTTGCCCAAGGAAGAGGTGGTGGAACTGCATTCTGGTGCCGCTGTCGACGTGTCACATAATTCATTGTTGCTTTCATTTAAAGGTAAAAGCAGGAAATTGTTATACCTTGTATTCAAAACATGTATCCATATCAATTCTTCTACATATTTAGAATTAGGGTGTAGAAAATCCATTTCTTTCTCTCTCTCTGTCTGGCATTTGTAGAATCAAAATCTTGGACTCAGGCACCAGAAAGCTCTTTTTTTGGGCAAAGTGTGGGTGCAAGAAGGCTTATAATGCTTCTTGGTAACGTAGGCAGTGTGTAACCCCTAATTGCAAAAAGAGGAAGAAAAACTGTATTCTCAGATCATTCAGTTTTTATCTTTATGCCTTTCATTAGTTGGCTAATTCTCCCTCTTTCTATTACATTTCCAAGCACAGTTAAGGTAATGAGATACATCATCGCTCGGTCCTTAGCTTTATGCCTTTTATTAGTTGGGTTCTGCATTAATTGCTTTCTTTTCTCCCCTTCAGAGCCATCCCCAAGTTTCTGCAACATGTTAGGGTCAATGTATCTTAGCTTTCTTTATACCTAAAAAGAGAAATAATTACCAGAAAAGAGTGTTACATTACCTTCCTAACCAGTCCATCCATCTCAATACTTTAGATAGCTGGGACCAACATAGGGTATTGGCCCTTTATATATTTACTTCCCAAATCAACAACATTACATATTACTGGCTATGCATTTCTTTTTTAAAACTCCCTTCTTTTCATGATTACCCTGCACTTCAAGTCAAAGGGTGAAAAGAAAGGCTGTAGGAAACTAAGCAGGGTGAATTACAGAGTCTGACTAGATTCTGATATTACAATCTCCCTCTAGCAAGCAATGGACTCCGCATCCTTAATTCCTTATTAAAGACACCTCACCTTTAGGATGTAGCTGCATCCTGCGATCTTCCAGCTTATATATGGAATAGCATGAAACATGAAGTAAATTGCAGTAATTAGGCTCATGATCCCACTATAACTGTCCTAGTGCCATGTCCTATCTGTTTGTCAGAACTAAATGCATTCGCCTGCACAGAAAAGGAAAGAACGAAGTACTATATACAAAGGGCTTTAGATATGCACGAAGGAAAGACTTAGACCTTAGTCAAAAGGCTTGATATACTGTGCTCGTTTGACCTACTGAGGACCTGAATTTACTAAACCTCTTGAGCAACTAGAGGCAACATATTGACCTAGTAACTGAAGGAAAAATAAAACAAACATCACTGAAGATTTATCCAAAATCTCATAGAGATACCTTAGTCCATTAAGCTGGAAATAAAATTTAACCTAGCAAAAAAAATCATCAGCAAGAGCTTGTTGTATCCTAGAGTGATACATCTATCCCTGAAGGTATAAATTCAAACTTGACATAATAGTTGCAGTCTATAGCACATTTAAAATCTCATCTCCCTTGCCACCTTTTGAGTTTGTTGTAGCCTACACTGAAACATTTGCTCTGTGTAATAGAATTAGTTGCTGAAATCAACAGCCGACACTACTCCAACCTGACTTAATGGTCACAGATCACAATGAATACTTCCAAAATTTCCCTCCCTATTCATACCAATATGCGGGGAACGTGTTTTTCCCCAGAGAACTGAAAGTGCAAGAAGATGGACATTGCTGCATTTGGTTATGTATATTCAGATACAATCCTCAATATTCTTTAAAAGAATAGCTTACCAGCTTCAGATTTTCTTTTGGAATATAAAATTTGATAATTGTTTGCTATATTTCTTGTTTTACAAATCTACCAAGATTATACATTGGTTTTATCAGATTAATGTTAATCTTAAAAGATCTTCCTGCAAACTGCAAAATTGAACTACTCTTAATGCATGATCCGGAAAAACTCCCCATGGAGTCCATTTAAAAAATTGAGCCACATCAAACAAACACCTTGGAAACTGACTTTGTATATCCATATTCTCATCCACAAGAAAAATGGTTTTTCCTTAACCTGCTGAAAATTGGGAACTTCATGTGTACCAAAATGGTTATAAAGCACTCGGGCAGAATGCCAACTGACTAAAATATTGCAGATTGGGTGTAGATTTACAGAGGAAGGAAATAAGCTAGTCTGCAGCAAAGATAAAGTTCGATAATTAGCTGGAACAAATTACAGTTAGTTAGAATTAAGCAAGGGCTATCAGTGCAATAGGTGATGTGGTCCAAGACTAAAACAAATGCTAAACAAAATGATTGTTACTGAATAAGAGTATGAGACCTGGATACCCATTTAATGAGGGAAAATGTAAAACAGGAATCTTAAGTGATTTGTGCAGTTCAAGCTTTCAGGTGATATGCATGTAGCACGGCAGCCTAGTGCCTTGTTGTCAACATTACTCAGGCATATATACAATTCTGGATGCAAAACCAAAAACAATTTCAAATTTCATTATAAAAGCTTGAAGAAAATAGTCTTCTATTCATCCAGTGTGTTCCAGCTGATGTCAACAATTAAGACTCTGGAGACAACAGCAGAGGTCTGGAACTTAACAGCTTGCACAATACCCACCAGTAAAATTTTTACGAGAGATTCTTTCTTTCCTAAATGGCCTTTCTCTTTTCTAAACTGATTTTATTTAAGGCCATATTCTCCAAACACTTTAAAAACAAGATTTCTTGTTAAAATGCTGTGCATTTTTTTAATAGAAAAGAAATGCCCCAAAAAGTGACGTCTCACCTTTCATTTAAGGTGTGCTTTAGTGTCCTCAGTCAAACAGACAATTCTGGGCAGAGTCTATATTTGAGTACTGATTTGCATTTCAAGATACAGTCTGGACAGTTGGCTTGATATTCTTTTTCTACATTGCCTTTACTAGTTAATCAGCTATCAGGGCTTTTTCTTTGTCATATCCTCTGCCATCTTCATCATCATTTAACATGGTTAAACATCTAGGGAGATAAGTACCTGTTTCAGAAAAACAGATAGGAAAACATGTTATGAATGACTCAAACACCACGTGCAAGGAATATTTTGTGTGGCCAGTGTTTAATTAACTTGATTTTAAACACTCACCCAGTCACCCCACAATATGAGGGTTGTATCTGTTATTTAAGCAGTTTTTAGCAGCTAAGGTTCTGTTTCTTTCACCTTAGAAGGGGCAGTTTTTTTTTTTTTTTTTGGTATACTGAAAACAATTATATATTTGCTCTTTTTACAGTGAAAGCTTTGTTTTTTCACCACTTTTACATTAAAAACAGTATTTTAACATTAAACCAGGCATTGACATTGAAATCTGGCTGGGTGGTGGGTTTGGTGGCTACCTTGCAGTTAGCCCAGTTAGATGTTCAAAAGCATTAAAAACCTGGGAAGATCTATTCCACCTCTTTGATAAGAGGTATGGAATTTCTTCGACCTCTTTGATAATATTGGAAGTATTCCACTCTGTGGAAAATCTATTTCCCCTGTTTTGATTCAAGCTTATACTAAATGAAAAACCCTTTTTCACTGCACAAGGCTGCAGTATTATGGGGATTTGGAGGAGACATAATGCGAATTTTTTTACGCTAAAATTAAAAGTCGATGATGTTATAGAGTTGATACTGATTAGTAAGATTAGTAGGGCTGTAAATGGATTCCGAAAATCCAATCCCCGAATCCCGATCAATTAATGGGATTTGGGTGTTAAAATCTGTATCCGTTTAATAATCGGATCGTATATGGACTTGACCTTATCTGATCCGATGATAAAAAATCTAGGGTATAATAAAAAAAAATCCAATTTTAGATAGCCTGGTAGGTAATTTAAACTGAACTTTGATGGGTGTAATATTGGGAATCGAAGAGAATTGGCCATAGGGATCATGAGAGATGATAATGGCACTAAGGATGAGCAAATGCGGGTAGGTTATACCCGGAAGTGAATGGAACTGACATTGGACCGGCCCTGGAATTGAATAGTTCCAAATTCTCGGAATTGATTCCCATTTAGGCTGGTTTTAGGGTTTAGGATTTTATCCTATCCGAATGTCGTGATGAATCTGTCTTGGTTGACCTTGGTGGAATTGAATTTGTCATAAAATAAATCCTGAAATACTTTGAGGATGTGAAGATTTGAACTTAAATGCTCATGATTACAAAGGTCATGGTCTCACTTGGCCGTTAGTTATTTAAGTGATTTGATCATTTATTTTATATTTTAATACATGCGTTATGATAAATAATGTAAAAGGTATTACTTATAAAATCTAAATTATAATGATAAGTTTTGAAGCATATATTTATATTATGATAATATACATATTAAGTTATTTAATTTAATCAATAAAAATAATATAAGTTTTAAAATATATATTATATTTATTAAAAATAATTTTTTAAAGAATACATATCATTTTTTTCAAGGGAGAGGGTAAAAAAGGAACTGCTTTTGCAGCTAGACCTTGGAACTGACCTCGGTAATTGCCAAGGCCAGAATTGGCCCTGAAACCAACCTTCACATAATAGGTTCCAACTCCAAAAACTGAATCCAACTTCTATAGGATAAGTTCTAGGTTCTGTCATGAGTTGAACCGAACCAACCCATGCTCGCCCCTAAACGATATCATTCTTCTCATTTTCTTAGGCTCGATTGTGTGTTGGTAAATGATAATTTTCTGAGGGCTGAGAATCTGAGATGATAGCAAAAAGGAGTCCAGATTCAGTGGACCCTTCGGTTCATGGGGTGCGTGAACCCCCCAATAGGAGGCGTGCATGTCGTCCTTATTGGGGCTTGCTATTCCATTAATGTAAGAAGTCTGTTAAGGTTGTCAACCTGGTTCAACCGGTTAGGTAGAAACAAAACCTGAGTCTTATCTTTCCCCCTCATTCATCTGAATTCTCTTTCCCAGTTTCATTTTCACCCGAGTCTTAGCTCAAGAGCAAGAGACCACCCTCACTGGTGGAAATTTTAGCGAGTTCGACGGCATGGAGTCAACCGACTGTAAGCATCCATTCTCCTCATTTCCCTTCCAAACCTATTATTCCTTTCCAATCTGATATTCTTCCTTTCTACAGAACACCGGCAGCAATTTCTCTGTTTCACCGAGCTCCGACAACGTGGAATCAACAGGCGACAAGTCTAAACCGACAGTTGGGTTGGGGCCTCCACGTCGGTTTACCGCCGGCTATCCAACACCACGAGCTCTGACCCAATTGCATCCTTGTTCAGATCAATCTACGTGATGGACAGCTCACTCACAGCCATAACCAATATAAATTCAACCCTCATGGGGTGTGGTCAAGGGCTCTATGCCATGTCTTCGCAGCATAATGAGTTCAATCTTCTAATGAATCCCTGCTATGCGTTTGCTAGCTGACCATACAACGATAGTTCCTTGAGCGTGGTGAATCGGAACCCGTTCATGAATGAAGTAAGAGAGATGCCAATAGTCAGAGGCACAGGAGTTTTCTGGCTTGCACGTCGGTATTGCTTGGCAAAGACGCACTCCATGGCGGGATTTGATGCAGTAATCGGTCGGGTATAATGCGACCCTGATACATTAATTAATGGAGTTCTTATTTTTGTATTCATTGGATCCCCTGGCCTTGTGTGAGATTTTCTATTATGAATGAATAAAATGTTTACTTTCATTGCCCATGAGTAAGTAATTTAGATGGGTTCTCTCTCTGAATCAGGAAACAACAATATAGTTCTGGTGCCTTTCATGTGTAAGTTAAAATTTTGAAGTCTATGACCATGTCAACGTTTCCAACTATTTGTTAAGATGTTCTTGCAATTCTAGTTCAAAGTTCAAGCATACAGATTGCACTGGGGGAGGAGTGGAAGTCTTGTGAGTTGTGGAGATGCCAGAATCAAATGACCCACATCTTGGGAAGAATAAGGTCTGGTTCATAGATCTTCACATTGTTGTAGATTGATCAAAAGCTTGTCTAGCAAAACAAGTATTCCCATCCAATAACAGCTTGTTATTTTCGGTTTTTTTATCAAACCTTTTATATTGGTGTTAAGGAAATATAGTTAGACAAAAATTGTAAGATTTTCAATGTTAGAACTTAGAACAATTAATACCCCCAACTCAACTGCCGGTTTACACTTGTCGCTGGTTGATTCCATGTTGTCGAAGTTCGATGCAACAGAGAAATCGTCGTCGGTGGTCTGTAGAAACGAAGAATATCATATAGGAGAGGAATAATGGAAGAGAAACGAGGAGAATGGATGATTACCGCCGATTGATTCTTGTTGCCGATTGACTCCACGGGGCTTGGGATTTGTTTTGAGGTGGGTTTCTATTATATAAGGACAATTTTGAGGGTTTAATATCAATAAAAGTAATATAATTAAAAATAATTTAAAAATAGATTAATTTTTTAAAAATAATATCAATAAAAAGTAAAAATATTGTTCATCTTTTTCTTCTTGCCCTTTGTTGCCGCTGCCCGCTACCACCGTCCGTTGCTGCCCGTCGTTACCTCCGCCTCCGGCAATGTTATTGGAGGCGGAGGCGGAGATGGGCGAAAGTGGCGGCGTTGGATAGAGAAACCACTAGTGCCGCCGCTGCCACTTCTGCCTCCAGCCACCTCCGGCAACATTACCGGAGGCGGAGGCAGAAGCGGACGACGGTGGCGGGCGGCAACTTTGATGAACAAATGACAAGAAGAAAAAGAAAAACAATATTTTTGTTCTTTATTGATATTATTTTAAAAAATTTAACATATTTTACTTTTATTGATATTAAACCCCAAAAATTCCCTTATATGCTATTAATCCTTTCTTCCCTTTTGTTTTTTATTTTTACCAAATGGGGTTGACAACCTTTAACAGACTTGTTACATTAACGGAATAGCAAGCCCCGAAGAGAGCGACGTGCCTGCCTCCTATTGGAGGGTTCACCGTGAACCGAAGGATCCACTGAATCCGGGCACAGCAAAAAGGTTTCAAATTTGCATCACCATCACATTCAATTTAAATGCTTCCCTTCTCAAATGCCAAAACTCTTCATCTCAACCGTTGAAATGGAATGTCGAGAGAGATGGATAATGGATCTTATCGAGAGCCTCGTAGTGAATCGACCATAAGACCTTCCCACGTGGCTCCAATGGTTAGGTACTTAGATTAGGTCGTAAATTGACTCAAGTAGGGATATTTAAGTAATTTGAGTCTGGGGAGTATGGTAAGAGAAAACTTGTATAAAATGTTTGCGTTTCCATTTTCCCGCTCATTCTGGGGGTGTTGGCTCGGACTCGGAAGTCGGAACGTTTCGTCTGCGTCTGGTTCTGATTTCTGAAACCGATCTTTGTGTTCGGAAACATCTGTTCATGGTTCTGGAACCAGACCGTTATTTCAGAATTCAGACTTTGGACTTCACAAAACCCTCGAGACAGCCCCTTGTTGTGACAAACTTTGTACTTTCCCCTTGCTCCGGCCGCCGGAACCAGAAGTCCCACCTGGCACCTCCTCTCGCAGTATGTATCGATCACCCTTGTTGGATCTAATGTAAAAACATTTATTGACTGTTTTTCCTGTATTGATCAGTCTTATTGTTGGTTTTGCCTGTTTTTACAGCAATAATCGTATACCGCTGGACTTGGTTTCTTTCTTCCTATGTTCTTTATTATTGTTCTGTGGCGATCGACTCTTCTGTTGTCTCACAATTTTTTTCTACGTTCTTCATTGTTCTGTTTGCATTACCTTTCCTGCAAGTTTCAAATATCATTTTCTTTTATTCGATTACTTGCTAGATAATGTCCACCAACAGTTTGAAGATTACTCTGCCCGATGGAACTGTGGGTGTTGAATCCTTTGCTGTTTGATCATCGGGATTTAAATTGCGAAGATCACTGATAAAGCCTTGACATGACATCCCTTGTTGTTTTTATGCGTATAGACTACAGAAGTAACTCAACTCAACTCAACAGATATAAGATCCACACCCAACTGTGTAGGGTCGGCTTATATGTATAAACGTCACAACCTGAAATGCAATTTATAAATTCTTTTAGCCAAGGGAGGCGAGAATAATGAATTTTAATTTGAGTTGGAAATTTCTAAATCGTAAGAGTTATGAGAAGCCCCAAGTACAGTTCAAGTAAAAAAAAAAACTTATTTTCAACTCATCTTCTTGACGGTTTTGGAAAACCTTTCTATCTTTCAGCCTTTGTCTTTTCTTGGCATAGGCTGTTTTTTAATAATAATATTCTATTTTCTTTAACTCATCTGGCATAATATCCACGCTAGATACAGTGTTAGAATGGGTAGTGTTAGATATAGATACTTGGGCCCCGTTTGGTTCATGGGTATAAGGGTATGGAATCGGAAATTTCAACTGTTTGGTTGGATAGAATTAGAATTTCATTCTCATTCCTGCTGGAATGACATTCCCCCATTTGAGGGATGGCTATTCCTTGCCCCTCCCTTGGGAATGAAATCCCATTCTTGCTGATTCCAATTTCTATTCTTATTTTTGTCTGAACCAAACAAACTATGGAAATAGACTATTTCAATTCCGATTCCTACTGCAAACCAAACAGACCCTTAGTTGTCTTTATTGCATATAAATTGGTGCCCCTTGATTTTGAGTTTGATAGATAACCATGAGCTATAATGTGATATGCATGGTAGACCATATTATTGGATTGTGGATGCTTGTTTACTATCTCCTCTTTTTATTACTTGGACGAATGCCATTTATGGAGTGGTTGGGCAGTAAAGCCAGATGGTGTGGCAGTTATGGATTAGATTATTGGAATGTCAGCAATTGCTATTTGGTCATTTTTGTATTTTTGGTCTGATGTGTTTTATCTTCTCATAGGTTATGTTTTGTTTGTGTGGTTGTCTTGGGGGCCGTAGGTTCACGTCTAAAAATATCATACATGAAGCTCTCTCTTATACACAGGATGGACTCCCAATCTATACAAATTGATGATGACAGTAGGCAATATGAAATGACCACATGGACAGATTCTCAAGATAAGTGTTTAGATTTGATGGTCCAACAAGTAAAGGCAAATAACAGGCCCACTTCTACTTTTGACACTAAAGAGTCGAATCTTATCATGGAGAACTTTAACAAGATCAACAACAAAGCCTACAAAAAGGAGCAGTTTGAAAATAAGTATCATCAGTTAAAGAATATGCACAACAACTACTACACCCTTACTAATCATACAGGAGTCACAGTAGATCCTCAAGCAAAGAGGATAACAGCAAACGAGAGTGTCTGGGATCACCTCTATTCGGTGTGGGTTCTAAAAGTTTCTTAGATGTGATATGCTTCATTCTACATCAATTGAAATGCGAACTTGATTTTTTTTCAATGCAGTACAAGTGGGTTGAACAAATGAGGAAAAAGGGATGCCCACATTTAGAGGAGTTAGACTTTATTTTCTCAGAGATGAGTCCGGCTGGAGAGATGGAATTTGGGAACAATAAGGAGCCAGAACATGTTTCAGAGGCACAAGTTCCATGGGATGCTTGTTCTTCACATAACTCACCAAGTGAATCAACTGCCAATGCTTCCCAGTCATACCATGATACTTCACCATCCAGTGTTGGTCAAACCAGAAAGAGTGACTCATCTTTGAAGAAGAGGAAGAAAACTCAGCAGTCTTCCAATTTTATATATGCCATGCAAACATGGGCAGAGTTGAACAAGAGCAAGCTAAGGTGGTATAATCTGGAAATTGAAAAAAGAATCAAGGCCAGCGCTGCCAGGCAACAAATGCAGTCTAAGGAGAGGGATACTTACTGGTTTCCAAGTTTTTTCAAAGCTTTACTTGATACCAACTGTCACCGGGGCTATTTAATGAGGTCCCGGTTTTTTATTGGAAGTTGCAACGGTCCCAGTAACAAGAAGAGTTACCTTGGGTGTATGAATCTTAATGCTCTTTTATCTTTCAAGAAATAAGACAATAGGAGAAGTTAAGCAAGCTTCTGCTTCGATCTGTGTAGCTTTGATTTAAGGAATAATTCAAGATCGGACTTTACCTCTTTTCTCTGCTGCTCGGTATCCATTCTTGTTCACTTGCAAAAATCAAAGAAAGTCGCCACCTTCTCTGCCATCGCAAAAGCTGGAGGTCTTCGTTCCTCCGCATCTGCAGGTGAAGGAGATGGGGATGGGGAATAGGTAAGGGTGAAACCCATCCTTGATGGGAGCAATGGTGAGGAAGTTCCAGAAGGGGGTTCCATCCTTCTTGTAATTCAGTAACCGTCCACAGTAATTCGTCCCCTCCTTCAATGCTTCTCTGATCTTCGATATCTCTTCAGGATCAGTATCCACTCCTTGAAGAAACCGGCTGCACTCCCATCCAACCCAGACAAAACCAAACTTTTGATTAGTTGAAGTTTAGAGAAAACGATCGACAGTGAACTATGGACCAGTTTAACATTTCACAATAAATTAATAAACGCAGTTGAAAACAGTAAAAAAACGAGAGTTAATGAAAACAAGGTGAGAAAGTAGATGATGTGGTACCAGTTCCAGCACTTGCATACATGATGGGATGATTGGGCTTGGTCGCGTCGGACACGACAGATGTTTGCTGAAAGGTGGACAAAGCATCTTTCAGGTCCTCGGATACTCTCGGGAACGCTCTCTCTTTGCTCGCCCCGTCGTCGGATAGCTCGTCCGAGGTTCGCACCGAGGTGCCTGAGTCCCTCCGGTACGTCCCACTTCCCCTGTTATTCGCGTCATCGTCTCCGGATGTCCTCACTGTGACCCCTTGCGACTTCCCTGTCTCCGAGTTGGTCTTCAGTACTAGCCCCCACTCTGCCACTCTTTGTGCGGTGGTATCTGCTTCGCCCGTTGGTTTTTCGACCTTTCTGTTAGTATCACCAACTTGTTGGTTCTCCTCGAAGATTAAGGAGCTGGGCCGCTGCAAGTTGCAGCAACGGCGGACCCCTCCATGCACTCGGATACAGGCGGCCAAGTTTTCTTCTCTTTCTCCTTCTTCCTCTACTTCTCCTTCCTCCATCTTCGGTGAATAGAGAACTACCACCGGCATCATCGTCTTCTGAGAATGAGAATGTCCTTTGTAGTCGCCATTGCCTACGACGACGATACCAAAATCACCGCTACCGCTGCAACTTACGGGTACCGGCAAGGGAGGTTGCAGACTTCAGCTGCCGCCGGGAGGGGTGGTGAAGAAGGGAGAGGGACGGAGGGCAAAATTGGGTTTTGAAGAAAATTTAAAGATGGTGTCACCTGTGTATGAAAGAAAACTTAAAAGGTACAGCAAGACAATAACATAACCTACCCATTGATAAGTCTTTTGGCCTATACTTAAGACGGGCCCCCTTCCTATGATCATAGCTCCCACAAACTAACTAACTAAGCATCACAAACAAGTTCTGATTACAAAACTCAGGGATGATAGAAAGCGAAGAAACAAGTCTAGCCACAATACACTGGATCAACACTTCAGGTTCTTTCTTCTCTTTTCTGAAAACACTATCGTTCCTCTCAGACAATATAGTGCAGATTACTGCTGCTGGTATGGCTCTCCAAATGTATTTACCTTTATTGAGAGGCCTGGAAGGTACCATCTCTGAAGCAGATCCTTCACTGTACCCGACATTACCCAACAGCATCAATGAGATGAGACCTGATAGTCCAGGTGAACTTGGAATGAATACAAAGATGTTCAATTCAATGGATTCTTCTTCAAGACCACAAATAGTTTTAAGTATTTTTTTGATAAATAGTTTTAAGTAATGCATGAATAATCCTTCTTGTCTTTAATATGAAAATTAAATAGTGGTTTATAGTAGCTGTTTGTATATCACAAGAGACCCATGAATGTACCAAAGGTTGATCTAGAACCCCTTTAGTCAATAGATGAGAACAATTAGGTGTGTCCACGGTTTGATTAACTAAACCATGGGCATATTTTGCAACCAAACCGGTGGTACCGGTTTTTCCATTTTTTTAAACTGAAACTGAATTAGTACCACCGGTTAATCAGTCTGCCGGTTTCGATTTTTTGGTTTTTTATATTTATAATATATATTATATAAATATATGTATAATATTATATTATAATATATTTATAAATAGATTATTATAAATATAATATAAATATATATTTATATATAATATATAGAAAATATGTGGCATATATTAAAATATATATAAAATATACATATAAATATATAGGGTAAAATACAAAAACCTCCCCTCAAGTTTCTAACAATCATAAAAACCTCCCCTGTAGTTTAACTTTAGCAAAAACCTCCTTTCTATTTTCAAAAAAAATTGACAAAAACCTCCCTTCCGTCAACGACCAAGATGAAAAATGTTAAATCGATGATAATTTTTTTCAAAATACCTATCTTACCCATCTGGCTATAATGCATGGCACAACCCTGAGTTCTCTCTATGCGATGGCGATCTCTTCGTTTCTAGTTCCAGTCGGCTCAACCATTTCTCTGGCGAGACCCTGGCATCACTTGGGAGATTTCCAGTGATGGTGAGCTTCGATCTGAGGCATAACAATCTCATCGGAGAAATCCCTCAGACTGAAAGGTAGACAACTGGGATGAGCCTCTCCCCAACATCACTTTCTTCATGTAGTTTTTAATTTCAAAAGAGGAAACCTTGTGCCTTTCTCCAATTTAAAAGCTACTCTCATATCTTCCTATTCGTCCAAACTCCTCCTCGCCCCTGGAGTTCCGTCGGCAGATTGATGAAATTTCGCCGAGAATCCAGTAAATATGACGGAGAATTTCACAATCGCTTCTTTCCTGGTGATCTTCTTTGATGGGGAGCACGAAATCGACCTCGACAACGTCAACGTGCTATTGTCTCTAGAGTTCAAGAATTTTCGATCCTTTCTGAGTCAGAAAATCAGAATCCCTCCTCAGCAGATCGCCATTTCTCTCATCCGTCGGAAACCATCAAGATCATCACCGAGAAATTGCCACAGAATTTCGATTACCGACACCGGCAACCAAATCCGGTTAGCTTGATTCTTACGTTTTTAATTTATGGGTCCATTGTTTCTTTGATCGATTTGTTTATTTAGGAGGTTCATCCCAGTTGTCCGCGTTCTAGTTTGAGGGATTTCTCTATTGAGGTTATTATGCCTCAGATCAAAACTCACCGGCACCGGCAATCTCCCAAGTGATGCCAGGATCTTGTTGGAGAAATGATTGAGCTAACTGGAATTAGAAAAGAAGGGATGGCCGTTGCAGAGAGAGAACTCATGGTTGTGCCATGCGTTGTAGTCAGAGGAGTAAAATAGGTATTTTGAAAAAAATATCATTGGTTTAAAATTTTTCGTCTTGCTCATTGACAGAAGAGAGGTTTTTGACAATTTTTTTGAAAATAGAAGGGAGGTTTTTACTAAAGCTAAACTATAGGGGAGGTTTTTATGATTGTTAGAAACTTCAGGAGAGGTTTTTGTATTTTACCCAAATATATATACCGGTCAGTTTGGTTAATTAACAGTTTTTTTATAGGTTAACTAAAAACTGAACCGGTCCTTCGATTTTTCTAAAATTCCAAACCAAAACCAAACCGATCAGTCCAATTTGATTTTTCGGTTTTTCATAGAAACAACAACCTTCTTAAATTTGTTTCTATAATGGAAGTAATGAACTATGACGGTAGATATTTCACAAAACAACCCTATTGCATGTTTATGGTTTAAAAATGCTAGATGGCTTGAAAACACCCCCAATAAGGTTTGTAAGAGAGCAGGGGTTATTGTAATTTGTAAAATAACAATATATCACTGTTGAGAAAGTCAGTGGATACTCATAGTTAGTGATAATGAGTAGAATTGCATGATAATAAGTCAAGACCCGTTCTTTTGTAATCCAAAATATCAGTAGTTATTAGTTGTCTCATGAATTCATAAGCTTTATTGTGAAATTTACAGTCCATAAAATCTGTCTTTCCACAATGGAGAACTTTATTTTTAACACCATTTAATATGTTAAGGGTAGGCAATTCTTTATTTATATCTCAAGTGATCGTTGTAAGTTGTAACCACATAGGGTTTTTCACGAGAGAATAGGTCTTTGTGACAATGAACGCTAAGGTCCCATTTAGTTTGCAGGAATAGGGGTTTGGAATTTGAATTGGAATGGGCTATTCTAATTCCAACCAATTGGTTGGGTGGAATTGGAATCCCATTTCCATTTCTGGTGGAATGATATTCTCCCATTTAAGAAAATGACCATTGCCTCCTCCTCCCATGGGAATGAACCAATTCCCATTCCCATTCCTGTCTGAACCAAACAGACTATAGGAATAGGCCATTTAGATTCTGATTCCAATGGATTTAGATTCCAATTTCAATTCTGATTCTGTCTGCAAAGCAAACGGACTCTAAGTTGAATCACTTCTGGATTCTTACTCCATTACAAGTAGGCATGCCCCACATAAATGTTCTCCACTTGAACCCACTTTCCTCTCAAACCTAAGCTTCCAATACTTATAGCGCTACCAGGCCCACAACAAACACCCTTTGATTTTAATATCTAAAGTTTGACATCTACCGAGATATAATCACCACCTCCTACGATGTTTGCTCTACTATTGGAGATATGCTGAGAGGAGAATTAATGGTGTCAACACTATAGCGCCCAAAAGTATCCCTATCTTTCATGTTGACAAAATTGTATTTAACTTGGTCTTCCATTTAATGCAGTTTTTCTTTCTTCAAAATTCTCTCTTGTCCTTCATCTTCTTTTTTTTTTTTTCACTCACCAAATCATTTTCCCTCTTGAGTTTTCTCCAATAATACTAATATTTCATTAATCCATGAAAAAAAAGAAGTCGTATCCCTTCGCATGCATAGGCTCTCCTACTCAATGTTTTCAACCCACTATTGACCTTGACAGTTGAATCGTTCGAAACATCACCTAGCCATAATTCTAGATCTGGTTTGGCTTAAACCCAAGGTTTGGTCAAAATCCATTGACTTGGTCAAAAACGTTTGACTAGGGCAGTTGAACCATTGGCCTGTTTGACCCGATCACGGATTACACACCCAATATATGTGTAAACTTCTTGAGGCCATAACTTTGTGTTTGGATGTTTGATTGATGTGTTTTTTTGGTAACTTTTCGATATCTAAAGCACCTTGCTGCATTTTTTGCCAAAAAAAACCCTTATATTGCAATTCTAGGCTACTAATATCTATGAAAAAAATAAAAATATAAATTAAATATAAAATAATGCATATATTACATATAGAATACCATTATGCATTATAAAATAATGCATATATTGCATGAATAATATAACTACATTATTGTTTTATTTTCAAATTGATGTGCTTTTGTGAATTACTCCATAAATTAGACACTTATGAGACTTGTGTTAGTTTAAATTGTTTTCAACCATTGAAAAATTTGGTGAGTTTATCCTACCAAGGCTGACATTGGTGTGCTGCCGAATTAGTGGGGTATCTTGTTTCAATTGGTAAGGTTAGATCCAAAACACAGTTAGTGGGTATTTGTGAAAAACACTGAACTTGGACCAAATTTCAGTTATGCCTTAAACCTTGGAGATAAATGGGCAAAGACTTTCAAGATTTGCAGTAGGAATGATAAATCCTACCAACGATGACAGTGAAAAAACATGTTGGGTATGATAAATCATGCATCTGGAATGACATTGATTTTGCCTATGGGGAATTGAAGAACGGACTTTTCTATGGTCGATTTATATCAACAGTGGACAATGAAACCTTCATGGAAATGCTTCAAGAGGTTGCTGCAATCGAAGTGTCCATAGCTTGTTAAGGGGTTTGGGTTCTTATGGCGTGCACATTGTGTGTTATGTCGATTCCCAAGGGTTTGTTTAGAGAAGGAGAAGAAAACTAGGGTTTTTTAAGATCTTTCTAGGGTTCGATCAATCTTGGGAGTTTGTAAACTAAATACATATATATGTTATTAGAACAAAGGCAATCTTGTTATATCTGTGCTTTGTAGGGATTATATTTTGTTGTTTGCTTACAAGAAACTAAATTTTATTTTGAAATATTTGTTTTCATAAGATGCACTGCATCCTTTGGTCTTCCATATACTGATCGAATGTTGGTCTGTTATGGGAGATAAATTCCACGAAGTACATGTTTGTCTGATTATATCTTCTATTGCTCCAAAGCCCAAACATTTTCTGTTGTCTAATCTCAACTGCTTCTTGTCTTTGATTTGTCATGATGCAGAATTTATTGGATGGAACTGTAGACTCTGTCATTTGCCTTCTTTGCCTATGCAAGAAAGATAAAGGAAGGAAGAATTAGATGACAAAGAGAAACAAAAGAAGTTTGAGGTACAGAGGCAGAAAAGCTTTACTTCGTGCTCCCAATTACTGTGTAGGGTTATGACAAGAAGAGATAATCCTTGTACAAAGAGTGCACATATAATCCCCATCCACAGTCCCTATTTGCAACATTTTGAACTTGTAAAATTAGTGAGTACATCATTTCTTCACAGATAAAAGGAGCAAAACAATATGATACAAATAAATCTATCTGGTTCATGAGAAATGATGTAGATGAATATGAATGTTCACCTTCCCTCCAATATGCATGACAAAAGCAAATAATATGGAAGAAGGAATGCCCACAAGATAAAAAGCTCCAAGATTGACAAAGGCACCAATCTTCTGCCAGCCACATCCTCTAGCTGTGCCTGCATGTTTAAGAAATACCTAATGATTATCTGTCACAAGTCATGACCCATGATGAATTCATCTGACCAATCTTAAACCCAAAAAGAGAGGATTGAATACTTTTGTTGTTATTCATTATGCTGTTGGTTTAGCTCAAGCTCTAGTTACTATTTCAAAGTTGTACTGACCTGAAAGCACAGATTGAATTCCATCGAGCAAGTAGGAGATGGCAAGCAGTGGTATCATATTTTCTACATATTTCACTACTTCTTCTTGACTGCTATAACAATAACCCCAAGCTCTACGAAGCAAGATCATAATCAACCCTACGAGTAAGCCCTCTGAAAGTACCATAAACATAGTAATACGTACAGCTAGACTTGCTGCTTTTGGACGTTGGGCACCCAGTTCATTAGATACTCTTGTGCTGATAAGAATAAAATGGAGATTATTATGAAATTTCCAGGAAAGGGGTGGGGAGTACAGCTACACCATTAGCCTTAACTAACCTTATAGCACCGCTGAGTCCAAAAGGAATCATATAAATCAGTGAACTTGTGTTAAAGCTGGGAGTATAAATTACCATTTGTTAGTAATCAAGAATCACATAAATTACTTTATACAAAAGGCATTGACAGTAACAGATAATTAATTGCATACTGTCTATGCATTATTCCATTCACGTTGTCTTTATGTAGGGATTTCAGATTTGTTACTTAAATTTCAATCAAAATAGTGAACTTGTGGTATTTGAACATTTTTGAGGACAATGTCATTAAAATTTAAGCATATATATTGCTTACCAAATTGACAACACTGATGTTTCTAGTCTTGGATTAGGAAGAAGACCAGATAGAAGAACCATCATCTCAAATGACCAGGTTTCCAAGCTGCCCCAGGTCATTAAACATATATATCAACATTATGAAAACATACATTAGGAATTTCAAGTACAGATATAAATAGATGGAACACTAGTACATATTGCTATTATTAAACTGGAACCAAAGGAGTTACCAGACCATAACAGCTGAAGGAAACGCAAGCCTTAGAAAGTTGAGTAGATTGTGCATGTGCAGTGTCTCATTTGACAAACCAGTCCAAGTCTTCTTGCAGGTGGGAGAGAAGTTGACATAAAATGCTAATGACAAAAGGTTGATCCAATAAGATATGGCATTTGCCAAGGCAGCACCTCTATTGCCGAGGCCAGATTTGAAAATTAGGACCCAGCAAGCAAGGATGTGTAGTAAAGTTGTGACTCCAGAGCTTATCATCATTGGGAATACAATATTCTGTGCTTGGAGGAATCTGACATGACACTGAAGGGGGCCATAAGCAAAAATGCTGGGGATCATGAAACGAGCATAGCGTCCTGCTTCTGCTGCTATTTCTGGGTCTTGGCCTAAGGCTACAAGAATGTGGCCACTGTTAGCCCAGATGAGGGAGAGGGGAATGCTGACAAGTAAAAGAACAAATATTGCCCTCTGCAGATGTATTCCAAGCATGTGATGCTGTTTTGCTCCATAAGACTGACCACAAAACGTATCCAATGCACTTGCCATCCCCATCTAGTCCAAAAAGGGCAACTAAATCAATTTTATTTGTCATCTGAACTGACCTATCAAATTAACTATTCCTACCTTGAAACTGGTAGTGGTAGAGTTTTCTCAGAGTAATATGAGATGTCTATAAGTTAGATATTTTAATTAAGAATGGTCTAAAGAAGGGCTTATTTTGGAAACGTGGCAAGAGGTTTTAAAATCTGAAACTCAAAATTTCTCCCGGAATAGATGGTGGCATGGTGGAACATGTGGAGTCCCTTTGGGCCCCCCAACCATAGATGATGACTATGGACTTTTGATTACTTGATTACTTATTCTAAGATTTCCAACAACTTTTAGAGCTTTTCCCCACCATCCAAAAATTGGCAGCACAAAACACAGATAAATCAAATTTCGCAATTCAGCAGTAAGAGCCAAAAAACAAGAACCAAAAAAGAAAAAAAAAAACAAAGACGAAGAAGAAATTGATAAAACCAAATCACATAAAGCAATAACAGAACCCATCATACCAAGAGGGAGAAACCAGTGACTGATGCAAAGGATGTGGCCATGGAAGCAGCAGCAAGAGCTAGCTCTCCAAGATGACCCACGAACATGACAGATATCATCTGCAAACAAAAGAGCAACAGATTAACTGATATCAGAGGCCCTGCTAACCATGCTTGCTTCTTCGCTTCTGCAATAACCTCTGTTCCCATGAGCTTCCTTCGGTTTTCATCAATCGCATTTTCTTCAGACGTTGGAAGCAGAGACGCTTCAAGGCCTTGCTCTATTCTGTCCATCTCTCTCTCTCTCTCTCTCTCTCTTTCTCACGCTTTGCTACTGCTCACCGAGGTCCGAGGAACATCCTCAAGGAAAAAGTCAATAGATATTATTAAATATTATTATTTATAGAAGTATTTTGTCTTTTAACTAAAATGCACCGTTTTGCTTTCTTTTTTCATATAAAAGAAGGGGTTTTTACTGTTCCATTTATTTGGACAAAAAAAAAAAAATCGGTCCATCTCTTTCTTTTTCTTCTGGTTGCAGTCGGACAACAATAAATTTGCACGACGAAAAAATATCAGCTACGTGGGCCAAAACGGGATGAAGTGATGTATAACTTGAACCGGATAAAATGATATTAAGGCGGGCCCTACTCTTCCGAAGACTAAGGGTCAGAATTTCTGGGTCCAAAAGTTGGGTAGGTGCTGGGCATAGGTGTATAGAGTGAGGAATTTTTGACATTTTGAATGTTTATAGTTCTGTAGTGAAATTTAGAAATTTGTATTGGGTTTGTTCATATTTTTTTTTTGTATCATTTAAGAGTCTGCATCTACTACTAACAAAACACGTTCCAACCCTATCAATTTGATCTAATACCACACATCTCACCATGAGACTGGGACCTACCATGAATGAGATGTGCGGTGTCAGATCATGTTGGTAGGGGGTTGGAACATGTTTTTGTTGGTAAGAGATCCCAACTCACCTCATAGTATGTCTTGGTAGCACATTGGGAATATCTCCAATACTTATATTTATTATTCATGGGGAGATGTTCCACCCAATACATGGTGGGATGTGAATGTGAAATTGGTGCAAGGAACACTCTATGAGGAGCAGATCCCATCACATTTTGGAGTTTGTGAGAGGTGAAGAACCAATGGGAGGTTTGGTGGTAGAGAGAGATGGAGTGGAAAACAAAGAAAACATGAAAAAAAGGGTTAAATACTTAAACTACCCCTATGGTTTATTAAATGGACAATATAACTTATCCTATTGTTTGAAAAATTATCTAAGAACCCTTTTATTTTTTGACAATGAACAAAATCCTCCCCTACCATTAGCGTGCTTTACAATCCGTTCACATGTGATGTCAAGTGACTTAGCGTGCTTTACAATCTTACTATCAATATCATTTTCCCTTCATTATTCTTTAAAATTTCAAAACAAAGCCCAAAAGCTTTGGCTTCAAATCCCACTACATCTTCCATGACCTAGTGCCTCCAGGTAGGAGAATGTAGAGTAAATCATGTTGATAATAAGATTCAAAATATCAATAGGGTTGGTTTAAGGCTTGTCTACCCCCTGAACCATGGTCTAACCTGAAACACCCACTGTATGAGTAATATTAAAAAGCCCCTGGTACAATACATATCGGCTGATACGGCCTAATACGTATCAAAACTTTGAATCTTGGTTTATAGGGGAAGGAGAGAAGCTTCTATCCTAATCTTTGGCAAACCCCAAACAAACCAAAGTAAGGCCCTTTGACTTCTATCATGATCTTTGGCGAACCCCAACTATCTTTAGAGATCAAACCATATACCGATTGTATCATTTTTATTGACGCAGGGAAAGTTAACCGGTCTTTATTCACTTATGGAATTATCGTTTTAAATCCCCAGTTGCAGTGTATCCAAATTGCAAGAGGAAAGAAAAATTTAAAATCTGTAGCAGAAGCTGAACTCTTTGCCATCCATCAAGGAATTATTTTGGCCTGACAACTTGGAAAATTCCATCCAGTGATTTTCTCAGATGCTCAGATCATTGTTCAAGCTCTTCAAAATCAATCTTCCTTGCATTGGACATCTCTAGAATTGTTAATAGAAATTCAAAATCTTCTTTTTGCTTTTAGTTCTTTTCAGTTTTTATATATTAATATGAGGTATAATGTTCCTGTACATCAATTAGCAAAATGGAGTAAACATATTATGCAGGAACATTTTTTGTTTCCTAATTATCCTCCTATTATAGATGTTGTCCAGAACTTTGTAAATGTTTATTTTTGTTAATATATTGTGATTTTACTTGTAAAAAAAACTATATTAAGAAAAAAATAGTGTAACAAAAAATAATTGTTTTATTAATGATAGAAATAAAATACAAATTTAAAACCAACCCAAAATTAGAATTGTTTTTATATTTGGTGGTGAGTTAACAATTCACCCTTTTGGGTCAAATGTGCCAATCCTATATGTCAAAATTAAATAATAATAAAAATTAAAATAGACAAAAACACAAAAAAATATAAAAAATGCAAAAAAAAATTGTAGAAAATATTTAAGCACATCTCTAATATTATATATTCATCATGTTAAACAAAAATAAATGTAACAAATAAGTAATTTTTATAGACATATAAACATAAAAAATTGTAAAAAAATTAAAAAATATATCATTTATTATCACCATTATTATCAAAGATTATCACGTACAAATCATGTTCACACTTACTCGTTTAACAAATGTTTAACTCGTGTGCACCCAAATTACACCCCCCAATCCTTATTTGACGTATTTGGCAAGCAAGGTTGGGATTGAGTAAGGCTGTTCATAAGAAGACCCAAATCAACCAAACCGACCAACTCTGTCCGATCCAACCCGAGTTGGCCGGTTTTTCTTCATCACCGGTCGGTTTCGGGTTACAAAAAAACATAAACCAATGGTTCGGTTTCGGTTTTCATGGTTCGGTTCAGGTTACAAATATATTTCATATCATATATATATATATCAACTTTATTTCAAAAGTATACATATTATATATAAAATATCAGTTTTAATCCATCAAATCATTTTTAATTTCTAGGCATCCAGCCTTTGCTTTCTTAGACTTGAATCCTTTACCGTTCACACTGAAAGAATCATTCACAAAACTGACCCAAACCGATTCAAACCGACCAGGTCGGTTTTACTTAGTACTGGGTCGGTTTCGGTTTCATTTCTAAGTAAACTGACCAGGTCGGGTCGGTTGGAAAAACGCCAGTAAACCGACCCAACCAGACCCGTGAACAGCCCTAGGATTGAGCTTAGCTCAAATTCCACCCACACGTTTGTTTTCTTAATGGGTTGGGCTGATGTCAATGGGCGGATTAGGACTTTGGGTTCTTTTGTCGTCATAGGGGTGTTCATGGGTCGGTTTGAGTCATTTTCTTCAACCGACCTGACCTAGTTTGTTTACTTATTAACTAAACCGAAACCGACCGACCTTGAAGCTAAACCGACTGAAACATGAAGGGTCAGTTTATCGGTTTAGTCGGTTTTTATATATATTTTAAACTAAAATATCTATTACTAGATATCTATTTATATTTAAGTGTATTTATTTTTAGTTTTTATGCAAAACCAAAATCTATATAAATATATTAAGCTAAAATGTATACATAAGAAGGCCTAAGAATGAAAGAAATGGAATCCAACATTATTTTTGCTTTTCTTCTTAGAAATTACAAAAATGCCACTCCCTACCGACTCTCTCTTTTGCTTTTTTTTTTCCTTTCAAATTACAAGGATACCACTCTCTCTCCTACCAACTCTCTCTTTTTCTTATAAATTATAAGAATGCCATCTCTCTCTCTCTCTCCAACTAAGGGAGACCTCAAATCGACATCTCAGCTGCTAGGGGACTTGCAATCAAAGGTAGTTGAGTTCGAGCCGAGCCGAAATCGAACTTCTGAGTTCAAGCTCAAGTCTCTAATTCGAATTGAGCTCGAGCTAGATGACACTTCGACCATTGAGAGAGACCTCGGCTCGGCACTTCGACCACTAAGGGAGATCTCGACTTGGCACCTTGGCGACTAAGGAAGACCTCAGCTCAGCACCTTGTCAACTAAGGGAGACCTTAGCTCGACACCTCGCCTGTTAGGGAAATCTTAGCTTGACACTTTAGCAGCTGAAGGAGACCTCGGTTGCTTGAGAGACCTGCAATCAAATGTAGCCGAGCTTGAACTTTCAAACTTTTGACTCGAACGAGCTCGAGCGAGCTCGAGCATGATAGTTTATGAGCGAGCCCCTGTAACGCAAGGCCCACTCCGCTAGTATATATTTAAATCGATTAGTTTTTATGTGCAAAACTAGTTTTTTTGTCAATGTATATTTAAATTTATACAAAAACTGAATTAAATATTGTACCATTGTATTATATTTATATTAGTTTTACATTTTTAGTTTTTATCATAAATAACCAATTTTTTTCAAAGTTCAAACAAAATACATAAAATATATCAACATTTAACATATAGGGTAGGGATTACTTGATAATTACTTAAACATATAGGATCGGTTTGAAAACCAAACCAAATTATCAGTTTAATTTTTGCGTATAAACCAAAACCGACCGGTACTTTTAAAAAACCGGCCAATTCGGATTGGGCCGGTTTGACATTTAATGTGAAGACCCGTATCTGTTGATACGTGTAGACGCGGTCCAATATGAAGCAAAAGATGCTGCTGACAAGGAATATTATCATGATGGAATTACCCTAACTTGTTGTTAAAATTACATTTCAACTCTGGTGTTTTCTTCTGCAGATTTTCAGCGACATCATCCATGGAGGAAAGTCAGGAAACCGAGTTTCTTGGGTTTCTTGAGTAAACGAAGCCTCCTAGGATGCTTATACGAGAGTCATCGTCTCTACTTATCTCAGCAAAATTTTTCTGCAACAATGTCGGAAGTTGATCAGCTGCTATCGAAGAAAGTTGCAGATCGATACCTCAAGCGTGAAGTCCTTGGTGAGGGTACTTATGGAGTCGTCTACAAAGCCATCGACACCAAGGTCCCCAATTTCTCTCTTCCTCCTTAATGACTGAGAAAATGTACCTGTATCTAGGGTTTCTGAAACATTCAAGAGAAGATCGCCAATCTTTTATTTGACGTGGGTTTTAGAGAAGAGTATCAGACTTCTATAACGTGAAGAAGAAATTCTAGGGTTTTCTTTAATTGTGATGACTTTATGGAGATAGACAGGGTTGTCTAAAATGAAATCTAATAAGCGTCTCTCGTTCACTAGGTAAGAAATATAACGAGGAATGTTGTTTCTTTGTTTCTGATTCATAATTTATGTATGGTTTGTGCAGACGGGACAGACAGTTGCAATTAAGAAAATTCGGCTGGGAAAGTACAAGGAAGGTGTAAACTTTACTGCACTTAGGGAAATTAAACTGCTTAAAGAGATCAAGGATCCGAATATTATTGAATTAATTGATGCTTTTCCTCACAAGGGAAACTTACATCTCGTGTTTGAATTCATGGAGAGCGACCTCGAGGCCATTGTTCGAGATAGGAACATTGTACTTTCTCCTGCTGACATTAAGTCGTTCATGCAAATGACACTGAAAGGGCTTGCTTATTGCCATAAGAAATGGGTGCTACACAGGTTTTTGTTGCAATGGATGTGTTTTTTGTTTGAAGCAAAAAACTTGGTAGTATTTGGCTATTGTCTGCTGTACTTTTTCTTAGGTGTATTGCAACTACTTGCAGGGATATGAAGCCAAACAATTTACTAATAGGAGCTGATGGACAGCTTAAGCTAGCGGACTTTGGTTTAGCACGCATATTTGGGAGTCCAGATCGCAAGTTTACTCACCAGGTACTGTATATAAGAAATTCATGTGGTATAGCAACTACTTGCAGTCCAGATCGCAATAGGCATTTTCAATAAGAGGAGAAGTAGTACTAGTCACCCTTGCTGTTATATTTTGTAAATTGATGATATTGGACTAATTAATTTGTTTACATTGACAAATTTGTGATGATCTTTCAATGATCTGTAGGTACTAGTCACCCTTGCTGTTTTTTCTTTGTATATCATTGACTCATTGTTTATGTCCAAATAATTTGAATTGTATTGCTTATTATGGTACATATATCTATTTGGACAGGTTTTTGCTCGATGGTATAGAGCCCCTGAATTATTATTTGGCACCAAGCAATATGGTTCTGCAGTGGATGTCTGGGCTGCAGCTTGTATATTTGCTGAGCTTCTCCTCCGCAGACCTTTTCTACAGGTAAAACTAAATTATCAACAGTCATTACCCTTTATTAAATAATTCTTATATGAATATGATCCATTGATTTATCATTTTCGTTAATTTCATGAAACTTGCCAGCGGTTTAGTTTTCATGTGAGAGAAAATGGCATGAGTCACATGGCAATAAGACATGCACAGCCCAACATGTTTTTTGTTGCTTCTTTCATAGAAGTCTTTATTTTCTTTCTCAAACTTAAAGAAAAAAAGCTGAAACTATACAAAATGTTGAATTGAAATGTATGCTTATCAGGAGCACTTCATCTTATTTATGTCTGAATTGTCTCAACTTGTGTGCATCACACGGGCTAAGTTGCAACACTTTCCTCTCATTACCTTTCAGGCTGAAACATTGGGATCCAGTGCATGCATTAGTGCTTTTGTGTTCATTTGTATGTTTTATCTCAATTTGAACCAATCTTTGGTCAAATAACAATTGGTGGTCTTGGTTCTCTCCTTGGTGGTTTACATCCCTTGACTTGTACCACATTTCCATGAAAAGGTCATACACAAATGCAATGTTGGTTGGCTCAGGTGTTTTGGGAAGGGTGAACTGGATACAGACCTAACATCCAGCATTTTTGCACAAAGTGTGTGTTCTAGAGTTGAACCAATGTTCTTATGCCTGTCACCTTGAGCTTTTACCATCATACCAAGCAATTACTTGATCTGTACCTTGTCTAAAATTTTCCTTTCTATGTAATTCCTAATTGTATTCATCAGGTGAGGAGGTTAAGAAATTTTTAGATCATTCTTTGTTATTTTTAGTGGAATTACCGATAAAATTTGTTTCATATGTATCATGGGAGAGTGGCAACCAATTTTTTTCCAATAACTTTTGCCCATGACATTAGTTTCTTCTGTCACTGTCTTTACCAAATATCATGGTGTTTGGAAGCGTGGGCGCTTTTTTGGACCGATTTTCAAGAAAAAACGCCCATGCTTCCAAGACCCGTTTTTCACAAAAAAACGCTTCTGCCAGTCCTACCACGTAGGCAGTGAGCAACACTATGCTGTTTTGTAGGTGATTTTCATCACCGTTTTTCATGTATGTGCTGATAGGTAAGCACCACATAGGATACACATTAGTCAACCGTTGAGGAAAATGGTTCACCGATGCATGAAACGCTAAATTTGGCGTTTCGTGCATCGGTGGGGTCCTGATTTTTTAATAATCGGCTGAACCAAACAATGAGATACATGGGCGTTTGTTGAAACGCCTATGTGGATCCGACGTGGCACTGTGTTTTTGAAAAACGGCCACGGTTCTAAACATCCCCTATATGATAGTTTTTGAAATTCCAATGTGTATATGAAGCATTGGTGTGGCATGTATGGGGTCCATATAGATAAAGGTAAACCAAGGATCAGAATATCATATTCATATCCGAAGGGTCAGATACACTGAAATACATAGGGTTTGTGGATTTTGGATGTTTGGGATGATAGAAGGCATCCTTCTTGGCCTATTTGAGAATAATCTAACTGATAAAATAAAAAAGGAGAGTATCGGTCTAACAATATGCACCAATAACCAATTTTTTTGGTATCGTGCATATTGATATTTTGATCCTCGAGGTAAACTAAGTGTTTATCCCTTTCTATGTTCAATGGAAGGTAAAATTTCTTTTGATTAAAATTTAGTGTCTGGCACTATAATTGTTAATTTATAACAATTACATTTGTAAGTTGTCAAACTTTTCTCTCTTTTGTTTTGTAAAAAGATTCTCTTTCTTTTCTTTTTGGTAATGAGGTATTAAAACACTAATTCTATAAGGGATATGGCAAGAAAAGGAGCTGTGTATCCTATAGAAGAGAATTTTCTCTGTACTTTATGTTTTAATGTTTTTGTTAACAATGATGATGGTGCGCGATCTGACGCTCCCTATTGGTGGACAACTCGGATGCCAGACTGAGTAGGTCGCCTGGTCGAGCTGCAAGAAGAGAGAGATCAGAGTGTTTGGGTTGCTTTGCCCGGGGTGGGCACCCTGATGCTTAAGTCAGCGGTAAGTTCTTGGAGAGCTATAAAGAGAGAGCTAGTATGCTTGAGAGCTAAATTGTGCGTACCTTTTCTGAGGAAGGGGATGCCTTTATATAGGCAAGGCTGACAAGCTGTAGTGAGGCTCATGAAGCGCGTCCGAGATCTTCATCTTATCTGGTTCGGAGGTGGACTCCGTGTAATCAGGTAGTGCTTTATCTAGTTGCACCCAGAGTGGGTAGGGTGATAACCGGCTCTTCTGTTTTGACGTGGCGTTGTAATGCCGAGGAAGTCGGAGACGATAGCCCTCTTAAGGAGGTCGTTCGACGTGTTAGGCAGGTTGCCAACTAGGTCCTGGTTAGGTTGGTAGGGTCTTGGGGGAGGTCACCCCTAATGCCGAGGTCCCTAGCTTGGTTGTGATGAGGTCGTCACCTGAGTCTTCGTTAGGTCGATGGAGGTAGATTGCCTCTTTTGCCGACCTAGTCCTGTCGAGAAGGTAGGTCGCCAACAGAGTCTTCGTCAGGTTGGCGGAGGTAGGTTGCCAGCTAAGTCTTCATCGGTGGAGGTAGGTTGCCAGCTGGGTCTCTATCAGGTAGGGGCCCAGCCCAGCTTGGGGTTCCGGGCCTGAAACATAAACCCTAGCCCAGGTCTATACGGGCCTGGGCCGGGCCGGGCCTGATTCTGGGCCAATGTCACTCATATATAAAAACATTACATATCTATATATTAAATGACAGAACATGCATATAAACTTATTTTATACATTATATAATATAAAATATTACATATAATATAAATTATACATGTCATGTTATAATATTTATATATAAAATATATAATATAATGTAAAATAACATGTATACATATGTATGCATTATACACAAAATTTGTGAGTTTAAATATGTGTAGGCCGGGCTTGAAGTATTAAGCCCAATCCTGGCCCTAAAATTTGCGGGCCCGGGCTCGGGCTGGGCCTAGGGGTGGCAACAAACTGAGCTTTTCACTAGCTGCTCGAGCTTGGCTTGGCTCAGTTTTAGCTGAGCTCGAGCCCAATTCAGTGGCTCSATTATTAAACGAGCCGAGCTCGAGCCTACTAGAGCTCGGCTCGTGAGGCTCGCGAGTCGACTCGAATTTATATATATATATAAAATAAAAATATTATAATTATTAATTATTATAATTCTTAAATTTTTAAATATAAAATAAAAAAAATTTTATATATAATTTTTATTTTTATAAAATATAAAATGAGCCGAGCCGAGCCGAGCTCGAGCTTATGAACTCTTGACTCGAGCCGAGCTCGAGTTCAAGGTTTTGGCTCGAACCGAGCTCAAGCTCGAGACTGTACTATTCGGCTCGGCTCGACTCGAATCCACCCCTAGTTGGGCTTGAACACAAAACCCAGGCCCAAGTTTGGAATTTCTGGGCTGGGCTTGTGCGCGCCGGGCTGAAATGATCACCCCTAATGTCAGGTTGGCGGAGGTAGGTTGCCAGTCGGGTCTCTGCTAGGTCGGTGGAGGTAGGTCGCCACCTGAGTTTCCGTTAGGTTGGCAGAGGTAGGTTGCCTCTTTTGCTGACCTATTCTTGTCGAGATCTTACATCGTCAGGTCGGCGGAGGTAGGTTGCCAGTTGGGTCTCTATCAGGTTGGCGGAGGTAGGTCACCAGGTCTTTGTCAGGTTAGCGGAGGTAGGTTGCCAATTGGGTCTGTCAAGTCGGCGGAGGTGTTGGCAGATTACTACCTGAACCTCAGTTTGGTCGGTGAGACCTTGGTGGGAGGTCTCCCTTTGTGCCGAGGTCTCAAGCTTGGTCCTTAGGTTGCCGTCTTGATCTTGACGAGGTGTCTACAGGTCGGCCATGGCGAAGCGCCCTCAGGGCGTGCGAGGTGCATTCGACGTGGTTCCGAGTAGGTCTTCGCCATTTTGGCTAAGCAAGTCATCACCTATGTGGTGCTGGGGTGTCATGTGACGATTCTGGGATCGCGACATAGCGTACTTAGTGATTTAAAAGGTGCGCCTAGGCGCACAGGCGAGGCACATTTTAGGGTAGGCGCCTCACCCAGGTCCTAGGCGCAACCCATTCAAAAGGCGCACGCCTGGTGCGCCTTGCGCCTTAGCCCAGGCGTGCGCCTTTTGAAAATTTGGCGCCTTTTTCCTTTTAAGTCTAGTGGCTGGATCAGGGGACCGAAGCTTCAAGAACCCCCTATTTGGTAATGTCGTCCATTCATTCATCTTAATAAAATATCTTCTTAAAAGCAATTAAAACTATAAAATCATTATTTTTTGTGTGAAAATTGAGAATTTAAGACCCTAACATGGACTTGCTTGGGCTTGCCTCAAGGGGCGTAGCACAAAGGTGGCTCGTAGAATTAGTGATTTAAAAGGCCTTAGCCCAGGCATGCGCCTTTTGAAAACTTGCCGCCTTTTCCTTTTTTTTGAGTCTTTCGCTCGCTCACCGGAGTTTCGAGAATCCCCTATTTGGTAATGTTGTCCATTTATTCATCCTAATAAAATATCTTCTTAAAAGCAATTAAAACTATACAATTATTATTATTTTGTGTGAAAACTAAGAATTTAAGACCCTTACATGGACTTGTTTGGGCTTGCCTCGAGGGGCGTGGCACAAAGGCGGCTCGTAGAATTAGGAATGTAAAATGTCACATTAGCTACTTGATGCAATTGAGAAAAAAATAAGAGATTGTGGGTTTTATATGCTTGAAAATGTTTTATATGTTTGATTTCATTTTTAAATTCTCATTTGAATATGCTTTACATATTATRTTTATGTATTTTAATTTTAGATAATAGGTTTTTTAAAACATTTATTTTAAAACTTAAGTTTATATTTTTATTAATATTATGTTTTATAATTTTTTGATTTTTTTGGCTTTTTTTTTGAATTTTTTTGATTTTTAGCCTTTTTTTTTAAATTGTGGGCCTTGCCTCAGAAAGCCGCGTGCCTCGACTTGCGCCTTTCACTTTTAAAACACTGGGCATACTATCA